AGTAGAAGTACTCAGATCTTGTTCTTGAGTAAAAGTAGAAGTACTCAGATCTTGTTCTTGAGTAAAAGTACTCAGATCTTGTACTTCAGTAAAAGTACTCAGATCTAGTACTTCAGTAAAAGTACTCAGATCTAGTACTTCTGGAAAAGGAGAAGTACTCAGATCTTTTAAAATTAGCTTATTACAATACAAAAATAATAATAAAATAAAATAAATACAAAAATAAATATAATAATAAATTAAAAATGAAAGAATACAATAATAAAATAAAATACAAAAGAATAATACAATTAAATAACAAATAATACAAAAAATAAATATAATAATACAATAAAAAAAAGAAAAGATAATAATACTGCTAATAGTAAGCAGTAGCAGAGAGGCAGAAAGCTAGCTGCCTGTCACTCACGGGGACAACGCCCTAATGTCTGCATCACCTCAAGGATTCATCATTTACACAAATGAGTTGTCAATTTGCTGCTTGGGCTAAACAGGAATGCTCCTTCATTGGAGTCAGTAGCCAGGCATTAGACCTCCATCTGCCAGAAAGGACCACAGCCCTGCTTCAGACTGAGGCCACGCATAACCAGTTATCTCTTTTTTTAGAGTATGTTACAAGTGCGTAAATGATCTGAATATTGGACATGTAGCATCAGAGCAATTGCAAGTTAATTTGTTATAAATGTTGTCGTATCCACAGAATACAAGGCGACCAAGCAGAGCTGTGTGAAACACGCAGACATTAATATATTAATATTAGTACAAATAAATGTAGAAATACATTAAAGATATGTGTGTTCTGTTTTATTCTCAATTTATATATTTTTATTTATTTATTCCTGTATTTATTTATTTCAGATTTATTGATTCTTGTATTCCTGTTTTTTTCCCTGTATTTATTTAGTACTTATGACACTGTTAGGTTGTCTCCCTCTTCCTTGTCCTTACCGTAAAGCAGAGGGAGACAGGGTGGAACTGGAAGACCACACTTTAAAGAAGTTACTCTTACAACCAATTAGTATCTGCAGTATTGAAATTAGTAATCTAATTTAGATTACTAATTTGATCGGTCATTTCATACTTCAAGTGCTTTTATGATTATCTTAGATTATCTAAAATACTCATAAAAGCACTTGAAGTGAAATGACCGCAGCACTGTAGTGATGGGTTACTTTTTGCATGTAACTGTAACCAGGGGCGTCGCCTGGACCTGGAAACATTCGGGGCTTAGCCCACAGTGGCGGTGCTACAGTCACATGTTCTACTGCAAGACTCCCCACACGCACATACACAATTGCGCCATCTGGTGTCACAAACAAAAAGCTTTGTTACGGCAATGGATTGTGGGAGACTCTCATAGCACGTGAGGATCTCTTGAGGGTTAGGTAACTGTATTATCTCGGTGGACAACATGTATGTTTTTATTTTATAAGGACAATAACGTACTCTTGTGTTTGTTTAGTTTAATGTTAATTGTTTAATGCTCACAGTCACAGCAACATGTTTTTAGTGAGATTGGCTATTTGTTTTATATAATTTATCAACGTGATCATCAATAGCTAATCTGAGCACTAGAACCCAGCTCACGAGTCCTTTTATGCTGTCCATTGAAGTGCAGGTATGTGAGTTTTGTACACCAGTTTATTTATGTTTAATGTTTCACATTGCTCCACATGATGCCTCGACTACAAAGTCTTCCATGTTTCTACGCTTCTTCCTCTGTGTCACAGTTTCTGGAATATCAAGATCATTGCACAGGGCCTTGGTCTTGTCATAGACCTCATGTGCTTTCTCATTACTTTGGTAACTTTTCAGTGTGTTCTCAACTGCTGTTTTGTAATCTACTGCCTGCACCAAGTCAAGTGTTTCTTTCTGCAGGTATTTGTGCAGGCCCTGAGTGGTTGAGAGCAGTGTCTGGAACATGACAGCATGTAGATGGTACTGCATTTTCAAAGCTTGCTTTCCAGTCCCTTTGCTAGAGGGGCTGAAAGGCTCCCTAAAGTCTTGATCAAAGCAGGGAGGTTTTTGACATGCCCAGCGAACAAGTTGTTCGACCTCTAGCTGTTTCTGAAATGTTTGCAATCTCTGATGGTGGACAAGAGATGTGGAGAAGAAAGAGTAAAGACACTCCAGGAGACCAATGCAGGTATGTGAGTTTTGTACACCAGTTTGTATAAGTGTAATGTTTCACATTGCTTGTGAAAAATATACTACCACTATACGATCACTGATGTTTTGTTGTTGACTGGACACTTCTTTTGTAAAAGAGATAGCATGAGAGGATCTCTTAAGCAATGCAGCTCACGTGTCCTTTTTATATGCTGTCCATTGAAATGCAGGAAAGTAATCACCAGCTCTGAGTGATCTGTTGCCGAGGGGACACTACACCGGAGTTACATAGGCAGAGATAAAGTACTCTTTTGGGGGGAACTCACCTCCTCTGGGGGGGCCGGGCCATGCTCCCCCAGGAAGACTTTTTTTAAATACTGAAGTTAAAAGCATCAATCTTGTGCACTTTGAGAGCAACATTAAGAGATATGGATACATCTCTCAACACCCATATGTCAAAAAGAAATCTCAGAATCAGAAACGGGTTTATTATTTAAAAACACTTCATTTTCCAATTAAATCATAAACTATGTCAATTTATTAGAAGTTGTTAGTAATCAGATTAAACAGAAAAAAGGGATGGAAGGAGGAAATAATAATCCCTCATCACTTGCTGCTTCCCTCATCACTTGCTGTTTGCGGTTGAAATGATCTCTTTTGCTGGCCAAACATGCTGGATGGAAAGCAGTGGTGTCTCACTTGCCTTGACCCTGTATCTGCAGTCCCTAAATCAGTCATGTTACTCATTGACTCTTGTCTGTTCTGGTGTTCCTGTTCATTGTTGTCTCCATTGTCGTTCTTGTCTGTTGTATCTCCTTCTTGTGTGTCCCTTTCTCCTGTTCCCCTTTCTTCATCCTCTACTCTGTTTGGCTCATCTGTGATGACTGTGGGTAAACACAAACAAGTATGTAAGTCAATCAGTTTCCAGCTCTGTCAAATAAATGAATTTCAAGATACACACATTTGTCTTCATTAAAATGAGTGTCACCACACTGTCACACAATGTAATACTAACCGATTGAAAATAGTTAAATTTACATCTCTTGTAGATATCACTGTTAGAGTAGTTATCTGCCAATAGGACAGAATCATTCCTATACAAATGCAGTTTGAGTAATTCACTTAATATATTCACTTAACACTTTAATATAGTCATTTTCACTTAATACTCTAATATAGTCATCTTTCTGCATTCAACACTAAGGAAAGCTGTACAATTTGACATGATAATGAGGAAAAAAGGCCTCCGACAATGCAGATAATTTTTTGATCATATCTATTTTAAGATGCGGGTCAAGGCTTAATATTTGGGAGCATCGTGTCCCTTGCCCCTTTCAGGAGCCCCACTGGATTGGCTTTGATCTGAAATATTTGTATAAAAAGCTTGTTAGCTGGCTGTCCATCTCATAATGTTCACATAGAAACTAGCTGTCAATAGGAAATATCAATCAGAAGAATTATATTTTCATACAAAATCTGTCACAAAAAGAGGTTGCACATTTAAATGCAGGTGTTGTTATGGCAACGTCAGTGGCCAGACAGCCACATTTACTGCTGCAAATACGTTCAAACATGCTGTCGACACGTAAAGCAGTGGCAACTATGCCACCATTTCAGCTGACTTTTTCTCAGAAATACTGTCACATAACATCCATATATTTCAGTGCTAGGTTGATGCTAAGCTAAGCTAACTATGAAACACTTAACTGACAGGCACTCAGGAATCAGGATCAACTGTGTACTACTGTAAGGTAGCTTCTAGCTTCATGTCGAACACAGACAGTAAGTCAACATTTCCCAGAGAGCTTTCTTTGAAATCACCAGGTAACGCTAAAAAACACAACATTTATATTGTATGACAAAGTGTTTATTTAATATATCTGGCTAGCTATAGCTACTTGCTAACGGTTTAGCTTACCCGCGCGATTCAAAGTAACGTCAACGTAGCTATAATTTATGCTTTGCTTACATGTTCGCATAACTTGTAAGTTTACTGACAGGTACATACCTTGTTCACCTGGCTCAGGTGGTGGCTCTGGGGTTGTTGTGAGCCACCACTTGAGAATTGCCGTCTTTTTTATTTAAGAAATGTCTAATGTCCATCTTCAGAATCTCCGCGTCCGGGGCTGACAGTTTAAAGTTTAAACATTGTCACAGAGGAGAGGTACGTACCTGTCAGCCAATAAAACACGTTTATTTCCATGCAACTCTCTGATTGGTCTGGTGGCGTCGTCTTGCCTCTGTGTTGCATTCACTGAACATGGGAAATTACAGTCCTGCCGTCCGTCCTATAGGTAAAGTAGGTTAATGTATTATATTATTGAGGGAGAATTTGTCCGGGGCTAAAGAAAAAACATCCGGGGGGCGACGCCCCTGACTGTAACCTTTGAGCAAAGCATTAAATCCCCATTACTAATCAATCGATGCTTTCTACTGATCTGTGAAGGTTTTCATTTTCATCACTTTGTTAGATTCAGTGGTGACAATTTATCCATATTTATTGACATCAGCAGAAGGCAAAAGATGTCCCGCCACTGGGTGTTGAACCTAAAGCGCCTGCATCTCGAGCACCTGCACGAAGAACCAATGAGTAAACCTCTGGACCACCAGTGTTTTTATTAAAAATAATGATCACCCAACTAAATATCTTGTTGCGATTTGGATTGAATTTGTACCTTTATGCACACAACACACAGGTATGGAGGTATGACAACATCAATTTAAATGTATTAATTAATTTAGTTATTTATTGCCGTATTTATGTATTCATATTTGTATTTATACATTTATTTTTGTATTACTCGAACCACAAGCCTCGGCGCAGTAACATCGTTTGTGATTGGCTGAACGGCCTGTAACTCAAAGAAGCTACCGGAGCCGGAAGAGGCGGGACCAAACATGAGAGGAGGACATGGTTCTTCCATCATGGCGGGATGCATGAAAATGAAAAACGGTTTCACGTCTTTATTCATGATTTCTATGTGTTTGCTGCTTATCTCTTCACCCAAAACCTCAGGACAACAGGGGGCAGGTGAGAAGCAGTGTTCGGCATTATTGACAGAGGTTTTACTGTGGTATTATATTGATAAAAACGTGTTTTAAAGAATAAAGTAGCTGTGCTCATGTTAGCTACTAAATAACCGTTACATAAAAGTTACAGAAGTTTCTCTTGAAGCGGGATTCACTGCTGACTGGTTTCTGGGTATTTCTCCATGTAAGGGAGGTATTAAAGTTAGTTTATAATCTTTATTGATTAAGCTGTTGTAGAGTTGAGGGAATCTGTAAACTTTGCTAACAGCCGGCGCCCCGCCCTCTGAGCTAATGCTAATTACACTGCTGTGGGACGTTCTTAATTTGAACATGATTTATTGTTTATTTTTTGGTTTCCTTTTGGTTTTTATTTATTCAAGAACATATATGAACATTATATATTTTGTATTAATAAAAGCTCACATCATGGGTAGACATATAAAGTAATACAAAATTAAAAATAAAGTAAATAAATTGATTTTAAAAAATCATATTTCAGATTAAATATTCGTCAAATACATAATTACTTTTATACATTTACTCAAGATCTGAGTACTTCTACTTTTACTCAAGTACAAGGTCTGAGTACTTCTACTTATATTGTAGTACCAGGTCAGAGTACTTCTCCTCTCCCCCTCTGATCATGGTAAATGAGTGTCTGATAAGTACGGTGGCCGACAGGTGTAACCGCGGTTCGCCCCACAACACTTCCCCTCCGTTGAGAGGACTGTTCTCGGACCGTTAATCACCGAGAAGTTCCCCACAATAACGGCTTTGTCCCGGCCTAATCACTCCATTAACCACAGGGTTTGGTTTGAAGCGGTGTTGATTTAAAAAAAACATTTCAGATAAAATATTTGTCAAATACAGAATGACTTTTGCTTTTTTATAATTATTTTTGGTTTATCTATATTTCATGTAAATATTGCTCTATATTTTAAAGTTATAATAGTGTTTTTTCTAAAATAATATATAAAAAGACAAACAAATCAGAGTTGTTTGGCATTATATCTAAATAAATATGATTGAAAAATAAATAAAAGCACAGTCGATAAAGTTACCTATCAACCTCTTTTGCTTTACATTTGATTAAACCTCTTTCACCCAGCGATCCTAAGACGAGGGAACAAGCTAACGGTTAAACGTTATAGTTTACATTTACATTTGGGCAGAGTTTTAGTGATGATAATCAGCGCTTCCGCCAGGGGGGCGTCTTGCCGTAATTTGACGAGAGATAATTCGAGAGAAGATCGAGAGTTTTTTTCGCTTGATATTACAAAAAGAAAAAAGGACATCCCTCTGTTGGAGGGGCAAAGGAGTCTGGTGGGATTATTTTCGGAGTATTGAAGATCGTTTCCCCGACATGGCGGTGCCTGCTACAGAACAACACGGTAACCTGCGCGATTTGGACGCAATGAGCGGTACTAGTGGAGTGCGCGCATGAGCTGCGAGCGCCGGAGCCTCGCAGCGCCGAAACTGAGGCTCCGTGGTAAACTGTGGTAACATGAAGAGCCGCTTGGGAGCCGAAACAGCCGGCGCTTTAAGAGAGCCGAGCGAAATGTATAAAGGCCGCTACACACCAACCTGAGACCAAAGAACGCGTACCGAAGGCGTCCCGACTTTTCCGTCCGCTACGAACGCACCGCAAAAACTTCAGTCGACGAGTGGCAATAACTGTCCTTACCAGCAGGCAGCGGTAGTGTGTATTCGTCATTCAAAAGAGGCAACAACCAATCAGAGAGATTTCTTTGGGCGACTTTATTTGGCCGATTCAACATGTTAATTCAACATGTTGAATCGGCGGTGGGAGGTGTGAAAATGTGCCGTAAAGCAACGACGGTGCGGGACACACCAACCTGAGTAGGGCGCCGCAAATGCCCGACTGCCTCTGTGTGTCAGGGCCTTTAGAGACGGCTCAATTCTCAGCCCTGGTCTGGCAGAAACACTGATAACGCAAACATCTTTGAAAACATAACTGCTAAGTGCTTCCCCAAAGCAGCACTGTTGTTGTCCCAATGACAACAGAGACATCAATACGTTTTAAAGTCAGTGTGATTATATTTATTTATTCATTCATTTATTTATTTATTCATTTATTTAACAGGGACGGTTCACATTAATCAACAGCTCTGTGGATGTGGTAACCAAGAGGCTATTTTTCACCTGTAAAGTAAATAAAAACATGCAACACACATTACTGGAATTCTTAATGAAATAAAAAAAACAGAACCATCAAATAATAATAATGTTGAAACACGGGCAGTGGGTGATGCAGTTTTTGTTTACCCTGCATGTCTGTGTTTGTCAGTCTCAGGGAACATCAGGCTTCGCGTCACGGACCTCCAGGACGGAGGAGAGTCCGTCGTGTCCGGGTCCAACCGGTTCTGTTACACGAACTCTGTGGTGCCGAGCTGGAGGCAAACATGGACCAGGATCCAGGTAGGGTTCATAAGCTGCTCCGTCAAATCCAGATCTATTTTAACTCTTGTTTATTTATTTGTGTCTATTTTTTGCTGCAGTGAGAGTTGCCAAATACATGTTGTTGTACTTTGGGTTAGGGCTGCTCGATTATGGCAAAAATCATAATCTCGATTATTTGGGTCAATAATTGATATCACGATTATTAAAAACGATTATCCATTTACTTTGAAAACATCAATTTATTGGAGAAAGAACATTTGAACTATGTTTTTCACAGTTGATTACCCTGAACTTTAAACATAGTTCCACTGAAAAAGCATTACAAAAAACTAATTTAATTTGAAGAAGAAAAAAAAAGTAATAATAAAAAAATTATCGTTTTATTTCGATTACGTTGTTTTCGTAATCGTTGCAAGCCATAATCGTAATTGCGATTAAAATATGATTAATTGAGCAGCCCTACTTTGTATGATGACAATAAAGATACATTCTATTCTTAAATGTAACCCTCATGTAGAAAGAAGTCGCCCTGATAGAGGACAGATGTGTCGGCTTGGAAAAACTACCATAAAGGATATATTCATATTATTCACAACATATGTATTTAAGAAAAGAGAGATTATTTTACTAAGACAGACTATTATATAATCATATTATTTCCCCAGATTTCTAACAACCAGTCGTCTGGATCAAATTAACAAATATGTATTTATTTTCATAATTTGTAACCCTTGAAATACGACGTGGTGTTCATGTGAAACAAATGCAAATATTGTATTTATTTATTTGTACTTAATGCCCAGCGGATGTTACACCTCCTAAAAAAAATCACACCCCTGCCAAAAATGATGCCTTCCAAATAGACAAACAAAACATATTTTAAAGGTCACCTATCATGCTATGTGTAGGCAATAGCACATGCCTCATATCCCTCTATTTCACTTCCTGTTTCTAAAGTGCTGATTTGGGGATAAAGCTTTTTTTTTAAAAAGGAGGGGCTGAGCTCATGCGGGACCCGGCAGCTACCTGTCCAAACTAAACACTGCCGTGATGAAACGCCATATCATGGATTATCAAGGATTCTCTCTGAAACAGTTTGGAGCTCAAAGGCTTTCTCTCTTGCCGGTTATACCACAAGGTGAGTTCCTTTTTACTTCCTGCTTCTTCACACACATGCTCTCCAGTACAGGTTAGCTCTGAGTGTTAGCGATGCTAATGTAAACACCGACCATATTACGTCCAAAACAGTCGGGCATTGTTTCTGATAGCAACGTTTCTGATTGGCCCGTGGGTCCACATTTCAGATATTACGTCATATCGGACGCAAATCTGGATCAGCTCCGTTGTTCCCCGTTTTTAGAGATTTGGGTACGGAGGAAAAGAGAGAGGGTTTATTTTCTGACGCTGCGAGAGTTCCCCGACACACCGGGGACACATTGATGTAGAGAAGACATCAAAAAGTGCATTTTGCATGATAGGTCCCCTTTAAATAATTATAATAATTATGAGAGAAAAAAGATAATAATAGATTTAATTTTAATATACACTTGAAAGGGTAAAATTAACAAAAACTATTTAAACAACACACTTCAAATATATAACACAACATTAATTACACATTAAAGGGCCCATGTCATGCTTCTCTGGTTATTCCCCGTCCCCTTGTTGTTAGGAAGGTTGTTCTGCATGTGAACGGTCTGCAGAGTCTCAAACCCTCAGAGTACACCCTGTAGCGAGTAAAACTCCAACACAGAGAAGACCTGTCTGTGCTGCCCCAGAACGCCTCGTTGGACATTTCTCTTTTTCCATTTACTTCTTTGGTATAGTGACGTAACGGTGGACTAATCCGCGGAGCCGTTATCGTAACGCGGCGCGTCGAGGCTGGGAGTCAGTGTGTGAGCACACACATAAACTCCCAGCCAGGCTGCGGGTGTATGTGTGTGTGTGTGCTCGGGCTGGGTTTCGCTGTGTCTCGCTGTCTCGCAGACGGCCACTGGGCTCACAGGGAGGGGGGGGGGCAGGAGCTCCAACAAGCCGTGAAGGACAGAGAGTGAATACACAGACTATACAGAGATGCTGTGAGAAACCAATGTGAGTTTGGAACATTGAACAATATAAATATATTCTAGTAGACCTCAATGATGGAATTATGATCAGTGGAAATGGCCATGTCATGGGACCTTTAAGAGCAATTCTGAAGATAAATGTTGAAAATAGACATGTGGAAATACATGTCTATTTTCAACATTTATCTGTCTCATCAGTGTTCCCAACCTCACAGACTAAAGTCCTTACAGTGGAGCTCTGTCCGTGATACCTCCTGCGTGTGTCCTCCAGGTGAAGGTGTGGAGCTCCAACGTGTTCAAGGTGCAGATGGCGGAGGGCGAGGAGGAGCTGCAGGAGCTCGAGCGCTTCAGCGTCTGGTCCTGGATGCAGAGTCTGTTACGAGAGCGGCAAAACGAGACCACCATCAACATCGGTCTGTTCAGCAAGAAGACCTGCTTCAAGATCGACCCGGCCGGCGAGACCAGCTTCACCGTCAAGGCTCTCAGGAGTGAGTGGGAAACACACATGGACTCTCGTTAGAGATGCATTACAGTGATCCTTTTTCACATCTCCGCTACAGGAAGAGGTTGAGACACTTTGATTGAATCCTTTCTTTTCGTTGCAGAGTTTGATATCTATCTGTTTTTGGTTTTCCTCGCCGGAGCGTTGTTGTTCCTCTTTGCAGACTCACTCAGCAGGTAACTTTAACTACACTAAGATGCATTCACACCTAATAGTCCGCTTCTCCCCAGACCACAGTTTGTTCCATTGCTTCATCTTCCAGAAGGTTCGGTTTGCGTTCACACGGGAAACTCAAACGGACTATAAACTTTAAACACAAGTCATGTGCTCGGAAATGCTGTTCAACCATTGGTCAGACATTAACGGCCCGTCCACACAGCGGCGTGCGTTGACGCTTGGCGGTGGGCGTGTCTGAAGCTTGGGGATTTTTTGCGACCAACAACCAATCACATGAATCTCCCGCCCCGGCATACAAAGCAATAGCAATGTTAAAACGAAGTAAACTGGATATAAAATCCCCAAACAGGCGAAAACCTACCAGTTTCACCCACTGTCTCTGCCTCCTCCCTCCATGCCTCGCTCCTCTGGTTTGTATCCCGGTAGATGAACAGAGACTGATCATACAGCACCGGGTGATTCACTACCGCTACAATGAATTTACCTCCATGTTTTTGAATATGAGGAAATGACCTGCGTAGTCTCTCCCAGCATACACGCGGTTTGATTGGCTAGCGCTTGTACTGGCAGATTTGCATAAACGGGATTTCATTGGCTGACGCCTCCGTCGAGGCGTCAAAAGTTGAACATTGCTCAACTTTTGAAGCCAGCAACGCTCCACGTCGCTTCCCAAAATGCAGTTCGGCTAAAGGTGACGTCACCCCATTCAAAGTGAATGGGCAGAAGCGTTGGAAGCTTCAACGCACGCCGCTGTGTGGACGGGCCGTAAGGGGGTACAAACGCTAATCCCGGCCATTTCTACCGGAGCCTCCGCCATGGAGCATCGGTGCTTTCGGCAGGTTATTCTCATGCTGCTGTTAATCTGGAGATCAACAGACCCGGCCCGCGCATATGATTATATAATCAGACAACGTCCGTTAAAAAACATTATAACATAATGAGAGACGTTCTGCAGTCAGGAGGAGGTTTCGACTTTTATGTAGCTGACGGAGAATTTCTACTTTACACGACACTGTTCAACACTTCATTCACTTCACTCTTTGACTAAACAACCGCGGATGTCTTGAAAGAGTCTTTCGCTAAAGATTTTGAAGAAATCCGCGTTCTTGTGACTCGTAAATACTACGCTTCCTGTGTTTTGGTGCGGACTGCGTTCACATCAGCAATGAACCGCTCCAGAGTTCGCAAGCAAGCGTTCTGAGACCACCTATTTTAGCGGACCAGAGTCCGGTTGTCTAGTTCACTTCAGAGGTCTGTGTTCACACCGACCCAAACGAACCGCACCAGGGTTCGTTTCAACCGGACTATAAACGGCTGGTGTGAACGCACACTAAGATGCATTTAAATTAAAAAGGATAATAAAATATTGAATCTCTCGTCTTTCTCCCCTCAATAAAGGAGTCAAGTGTTCTTCTACTCTGCTGGTATGAGCACCGGCATGATCGCCTCTCTCATCATCGTCTTCTTCATTCTGGCTCGCTTCCTGCCCAAGGTAAGGACTCATTTTACTGCCATGTAAAACAGATATTGGGTTTTCCTCCAGAGGGTGGCTGGCATCTCCTTTAGGGAGAAGGTGAGGTCAGTCATGGGGAGGGACTTTTCATACCAAGGACACTTAACCAATAAACAAACACTTTTATTATTCATTATGTGGAATGTCTACCAGGTAAATGTAATGATAAACCACCAGGAGTGGATAATTTAGTTGGTACATTTCTTAGATATGTTGCTAATTTTGTTGCAGAGCCTATCTGTCATATTATAAATTTGAGTATTGATAAATGTATTTGCCCACAGGCATGGAAAATAGCAAAAATTATTCCACTTGCTGGACCATTTTTACAAATAGCCATCCAATAAGTTTATTACCAGCTGTTACGTTCCCAATTGGCTAGGGCGAACAAAAGGGAAACGACATGACCAGAGTAGAATTGGTATAATTATAAGTGGCTTTATTATAAAGCAAAGCGTAACAAAATGGCCGGCAGGCAGCCTGACACAAACAAAAGGGCCAAAAGGGAGGACTCTTAAAAAGGAGCCTGTGTACATACACAATAAATAAATACTCACTTTAACAGTGGTACAACTAATTAAAGGAGATATATACAAAACACACAGCTAAACTAAAAGGCAACAGTCACAAAATCCTAAGCTACTCTAAACACTAACTAAACTACTCTACACTCTAACTAAGTTGTCACTCGACACTGAACACATATATTGACACTCGTTACTTAGCACAGTCTGTAGTGTCCATGACACGAGAGCAAAAAGGTATGAGGCGTCTGATCGCAGCAGAGCCTCCAGAGTGGTGATAGTTCCCAGGCTTTGTAGTCCTCTCCAGCAGGTGTGCGCTGGGCTGGCACAGGGATTGCGCATTTGGGCGTGCTCCAATCAGTGTCCTCGGAAGTGGACCAGGAGATGACAGCCAATGACGTTGGGGCAACCACACAGCTCATCTACATAATCACCCACAGCTGAAAACACTCACAGGCAGGTTAATGAGCAGACAGCAGCCGCAGCAGCCGCCGTGACACCAGCATTAGCAAAGATAATGGAGAGAATAATTTTCAATCAAATACAAAAATACTTTGAAGGTAACAAACGTAATACTGTGTATCAACATGCTTACAGACCTGGCCATTCCACATGCACTGCTTTAACACAAAGGACAGATGACTGGAAGGGCGAACTAGATAATAGGAAGTTAGTGGGTGCAGTACTACTCGATTTTAGTTCTGCTTTTGATGTCATTGACCATTCTTTGTTGTTACACAAGCTGGAACAATATGGTTTTCATTTTGAAATGCTGAGGTGGTTAGAAAGTTACCCGACAAATCGAAGTCAAACTGTTTTTTTTAATGGAAGTCTCTCAAATATGAAAACAGTCACTTGTGGAGTACCTCAGGGTAGTTGTTTGGGACCACTTTTATTTTCTATTTTTACAAATGACAAGTGTTAGAAAAAGCTAAAATTGTAATGTATGCAGATGACTCAACAATATATTATGCAGCATCAACTACAAGAGAGTTGACCAATGTTATGAATAAAGATCTACTACTGATATCAGAGTGGGTCATAAATAATAGGTTAGTACTTAATGCGGGAAAAACAAAATCGTTATTAATAGGATCAAATCATCAGTTAAAAGGTGAACCAAAATTGCAACTACATTTAAACCATATTGAAATTGAACAGGTCAAGGAGACAACATTGCTCGGTATAACCCTGGATCATAAATGATCTTGGTCTAAACACATTGATAATGTTGTATGTAAAATGGGAAGGGGTCTGTCACTTGTAAAAAGAATTGTAAAATATTTGCCTATGATGTCAGTAGACAAGTTTTGGATGCTTTGGTTCTGTCGCAACTTGATTATTGTTTGGTTATAAGTGCTGCTGAAAAAGATTTAAACAAACTACAAGTAGCACAAAATAAGGCAGCACGATGTGCACTGCAGAGCTCCTCCAGAACCAGAGCCACTGAGATGCTGGAGACACTGAAATGGTTAACTGTCAGACAGAGGTCAACTTATATTTTATTACATTTAGTCAGAAATATTACAGTGACTCACTCACCAGATATATTATCACAAAGGTTTATAGCGCAATATGCACAACATAATTATCAAACACGACATACAATAGAAGGAAGGTTTGTATTACCCAAATATGGGACAGAGAAACAGTCAGAGTCGTGATCAGCTGGAACTCTACCGGTTCACATCATTCAGGAACATTCTCAAGTACATTTCAAAAGGTTGCTAAAAAAATATGTAAGTATTATAAAGTACATTTGAACTGTGCCTGTGGCTATGTATGCATATATTATTATGTACACTTATTTGTATTTACTTTTGTTTGGCCTTAGGATGGCGATAATTGGATGACCATTTTAGTTTTCACTTCATACAGCGCTGTAAATTGCATGAAATTATGAGCTGTTTTGTTGTATGTATGTTTATGTATGTTTTGAGTGTGTGAGGACCCCAGGAAGAATAGCCAATGCTCATGCTAGTGCTAATGGGGATCCTAATAAAGACATAAACACTCACGGACCACCTGACTCCCCAGACATCCAGAAACAAAAGGCCTGCTCACCACTCCAACAGTTTATAACAAACTACAGCCTGATAACGACTGCTTCTCTGTATCGCCTCGTTCACACATTAAACCAACAACACAACTACAGATTCTACAAGCATTTCCTTCATATGAGATTTAAAATGCTCTCAGGTTTTACACCTCTTATGAAAAGTAGACATTTATTACGGAGTTTATGTCCGAGCCGACAGACTCTCAGAAAGATCGTTCTCTACTGAGAGAAATGCAAAATGCCTGTAAATGTAAGAAGTAAAAGTAAAAAGTCGTCAGAAAAATAAGTAGTGTAAAGGTACTGATGCCAGAAACATGTACTTAAGTACAGTAAGGAAGTATTTGTACTCCTCTACTTCCTCACACCTTTCTTCGTCTCTTCTCTGCAGAAAAGCCCGTTTTATGTCCTGATTGTCGGCGGCTGGTCGTTCTCTCTGTACGCCATCCAGCTGGTGGGAAGGAACCTCCAGACCATTCTGCGGGAACACTGGAACGTGGCGTTAGGTGAAGAAGAGCCTTCATAACACACACATTTTATAGACAATAAAACACTTTTTATTTGCCTCACATCGCAACAGAAAGACGCTCAGGTGTGTTGGCACGCAGCCTTCATCAGAGCGTATTCATTTACAGATTGGATTTGGTAAATAAAGGGCACAGTTATCACAGCTGGGGAATGGATCCAGTTATCTAGAAACTCATCTCTTCTCAAATGGCTGTAGATACAGGGACTCATCACAACTATTTAGTGAAATCATGTTCACCAAAAACAGGTTTTATTATCTGTCATGTATTTATAATATCTTATTCATATTGGTTAAAGAACTTGGTAACACAATGTTTACAGGCATCATGTATTCACTGCTAACACCATGTTGGAAGAGAACTCACCTCTCCATAGCGTCTCCTTGGTTAACTGGATTTATAACATTCACACTGTACTTTTTATATTTACATTTCATTGAATATTCCATTCCTTGCACACTTTATGTAAATAATATCCTGCTCATATTGAGTTCAGAGAAAATTGGCCCTTTGTGAGACTTTTATAGATTTCTTTGTATCTTCTGTACATTTTCCTTTTAACTCTCTAGTGCTGGTTTATTTCTATTTTGAGATGTTTATATTTTAGAATTGTGTATTTCTAGTCTTTAGTTATTATGGGCAATGCCTCGTTTTGTTTTATGCTGCTGCAACACTTTCTCTTATCAGACACTAGATGGCAGTACAGGATTATTTGAATATGCCTCATTCACTCATAGTCCCATATTATCCCAAGTTATTTAGTGGTCAGTTTATAGAGAGGTGCAGGGAGGACGTGTTTACCCTGAAGGAAGCTGCTGGTTCCCTCGACAAAAAAGCAACGGGATTTCTCCATAGGATTTTGGAAAATAGCTCAAAATAAGGTCTGTGGAAAACGAACCTGTTAGATAAATGCACGTTTTGTTCAGCCGGATAATCTCCACATGTCTACCCTACTTTTATACATTTCAAATCAGGTGATCAGGTGATCAAATCAGATATATCTAATCTCCAGAAGCAACATGCTAACGTTATGCTATAAAGGAACTACAGGCGAGTCCAGCAGCACGACTTCAACGTCACGCCAACTTCAGATCCATATTCAAACACACAGATTCTAGATGGAACGAGTTGAAGCGTTTGTTTGAACAGTCTGCAGGAGGCAGGGACTTGCTTTCAAGCAGAACAGAAACTAACTTAGGAGTGTTTACGTGTTCGGCGTAATGACAAACAACGGCCTCCACGACTTCTGTAGTCCTATTCAGCCACTTGGTAACAACCATCGTTTCTCAGACACGTCCACTCTTCAGAAATCACAGTGGGGTCACTGCTGATGATTTAATGTCCTAGAACAAAACGTGATCCGTCTCTTCAATGTGTCTCAACCACAGACCTTAGTTCAGATACTTTCCAAAACCCTACGGAGAGATCCCATTGGCTCTGAGACAAGGGAACAGGAAGTGGAGAAATGCTCCTGGTTTTCGGGCTCGTCACTGCACCACTCTATTACTACAGGTCCTTCAAACCTAAAAACTTCTGATCATGTGTGCCCTAAAGTTGTTATTAAAAAGCATAATAAAACCCTGTAAGTAACTATACATGTTCCCGTGTTTCCTCAGGCTACGTGACGGTGGTGGGCTTCGTCACCTTCGCCGTGTGTTACCGGTACGGCCCCCTGGTGGACGAGAAGAGCATTAACATCCTGTCGTGGACGCTGCAGCTGTTCGGCCTGCTGCTGGTCTACCTGGGGATCCAGATCCAGCAGGTGGCCTTCGCCGTCATCGTGGCCGCGCTGATCTCCAAACACCTGGAGCACCCGCTCAGACTCTCTGTGACCGCCTGCAGGTGAGGGGGGGGGGGGACTTTTTATTTATAGATATTTTACATTTATCACATTACACAAAAACAACAGAACATTCCCCAACATTAGACATATGGCAGATTACAAAATAATGCTTAAATAAAAATAAAAAGTGTGCAGTTACTAGAAACCAGTACAAAGTACAGACCAAGAATATAATTACATTTGCAAATTAACAAATTCAACAAATACAATAAAAGCTCATCCACAAACAGAGCAGAGCACAGTTTACAATTCTCCAAATAGATTAACCATTTTCAACATTTCCTCACAGTAGTTTAGTCTTTTGAGCAGGGGGGGGGGGGGGGGGGGGGGGGGGGGGGGGCATTTCAATCTGAAAGAGCTTCAATGGTGGTCCTCCTTTTTATTACCCAGAGCAAAATGTATTAAAAATAAAACTGTCTAATATGTATTGAGTTTTTATTCATCAAGTAGTATTTTACATATTAATTCAAGTAGAAAAAATAAAATCTTACATCACTTTTCCTCCTTCATAAATCATCCATTTCTTCCACTTATTAACTCAAATATCTTCTCGCTGTAAATTGGTTTGTCATTTATCCAATTATACGGAGGATTGTTTTATTTCCATCCATCCATCCATCTTCTCCCGCTTATCCGTGGTCGGGTCACGGAGGTATCAGTTCCAGCAGAGAGCCCCAAACTTTCCTCTCCCTGGCCACATCAACCAGCTCTGACTGGGGGATCCCAAAGCGCTCCCAGGCCAGCGAAGAGATATAATCCCTCCACCTGGTCCTTGGTCTACCCCTTGGTCTCTTCCCAGCTGGACGTGCCTGGAACACCTCCCTAGGGAAGTGCCCAGGTGGCATCCTTACTAGGTGCCCGAACCACCTCAACTGGCTCCTTTCGACGTGAAGGAGGAGCGTTTCAACTCCCAGTCGGCCGCTTGTATCCGCGATCTCGTTCTTTCGGTCATGACCCATCCTTCATGACCATAGGTGAGGGTAGGAACGAAAATGGCCCGGTAGACAGAGAGCTTTGCCTTCTGGCTCAGCTCCCTTTTCGTCACTACGGTGCGAACTGCAGACCCCCTCCCCCACGACTACGCCTCGAAATCCTTCCATGAATTTTACAAACAGGATTAGTGACAAAGCGCAGCCCTGGCGGAGGCCAACCCTCACCGGAAATGAGTCCGACTTCCTGCCGAGGACCCGGACACAGCTCTCGCTTTGGGAGTACAGAGATTGGATGGCCCTGAGTAGAGACCCCCTCACCCCATACTCCCGCAGCACCTCCCACAATAACTCCCTGGGAACTCGGTCATACGCCTTCTCCAAATCTACAAAACACATGTAGACCGGATAAGCGTACTCCCAGGCCCCCTCCAGGATCCTTGCGAGAGTAAAAAGCTGATCCGTCGTTCCACGACCAGGACGGAATCCGCATTGTTCCTCCTCAATCTGAGGTTCGACAATCGGCCTGACCCTCCTTTCGAGTACCTTAGAGTAAACTTTCCCGGGGAGGCTGAGTAGTGTGATGCCTCTATAATTGGCACACACCCTCTGATCCCCCTTTTTGAAAAGGGGAACCACCACCCCGGTCTGCCACTCCTTCGGTACTGTTTCAGACTTCCACACAACGTTGATGAGACGTGTCAACCATGACAGTCTCTCAACACCCAGAGCCTTCAGCATTTCTGGGCGGATCTCATCCACCCCCGGGGCTTTGGCACTGTGGAGTTGTTTGACGACCTCAGTGACCTCCCCCCGGGAGATTGGTGTTGATCCCCCGTCATACTCCAGCTCTGCCTCTACCATAGAGGGCGGAGTTGTCGGGTTCAGGAGTTCCTCAAAGTGTTCCTTCCAACACCCTAACACTCCATCAGTTGAGGTCAACAACGTCCCATCCTTACTGTACACAGCTTGGATGGTTCTCTGCTTCCCCCTCCTGAGGTGTCGGACAGTTTTCCACAACAACTTTGGTGCCGCCCGAAAGTCCTTTTCCATGTCTTCTCCGAACTTCTCCCACACCCGCTGCTTTGCCTCGGCCTGTCGGTACCTTGCAACTGCCTCGGGAGTCTCCCGGGATAACATATCCCTGAAGGCCTCCTTCTTCAGTCGGACGGCTTCCTTGACCACCGGTGTCCACCAGGAGGTTCCAGGGTTACCGCCCCTTGAGGCACCTAAGACCTTGAGACCACAGCTCCCCGCCGCGGCTTCGGTAATAGAGGCTTTGAACACCGACCACTCTGGTTCAATGTCCCCATCTTCCACAGGGATGCCCGAAAAGCTCAGCCGGAGGTGTGAGTTGAAAGCCTCCTGAACTTGGGCCTCCTCCAGACGTTCCCAGTTCACCCGTACTACACGTTTGAGCTTACCGGGTCTGTCAAGAGGCTTCCCCCGCCACTCGACCCAACTCACCACCAGATGGTGATCAGTTGACAACTCCGCCCCTCTCTTTACCCGAGTGTCCAAAACATATGACCTCAGGTCCGATGATATGATAACGAAATCGATCATGGACCTTCTGCCTAAGGTGCTCTGGTACCACGTACACTTATGAGCATCCTTATGTTCGAACATGGTGTTTGTTATGGCCAATCCATGACTAGCACAGAAGTCCAGTAACAAACCACCACTCCGGTTCCGATCAGGGGGGCCGTTCCTTCCCCCCCAGAAAGGTGACGTTCCACGTCCCCAAAGCCAGCTTCTGTCGCCCGGGTCTGGTCCGTCGAGACCCTCTGCTTTCACTGCCACCCTTCTGGCAGTTCACCCGACTCCATCGCTGTTTCCCATAGGTGGTGGGCCCGCGGGACGGCTTCCTCCGGGCCGGGTATCCTCACTTCTTGTGTCTTCTTTCATGAGGTCTTTGATCCAATCTTAGTCAGGCCCCTTGCCTGAGACCAATTTGCCATGGGAGACCCTACCAGGAACACAAGGTTCCAGACAACACAGCCCCCAGGTTCATCAGGGCACACGAAGAACCAGCACCTCACCTTCCCGTAGTGGAGAGGTTGCTGGTTATTTCTAATCTTCTTTATTTCAAACGTATTTGTTATTTTAAGTCATGCATGATGTCTGCTTATTTCTGCCGTTTGAGCTCTACATCCACGATTCAATTTGCTTTGTTCACTTGTTTTATTATTATTATTATTAATGGACATGTTCCCCTTTTTAATTCTGTTATTTTGGTGAGTGGTTCTGCGTTGTGAAGCCCCTGAGCAAGTGTTATTTGTGATATTGGGTTATATAAATAAAATGTAATTTCTTTCCTGCAGGCGGCTCAGAGCTGCAGTTCGCTGGAAGACGGAGCCTCGCCGCCTGCTGACGGAGGAGGAGTTCCAGCGGGAGGCGGAGGAAGAGACTCGTAAAGCTCTGGAGGATCTGAGGAAGAACTGCAGCAGCCCCGAGTTCAGATCCTGGAGGACCGTGGCCCGCCTGCAGTCCCCCAAAAGGTGCCCGTAGTTCCCTCTTTTTCTCAGTGCAGATTATTTAAAAGCGCCTCTGCTAATCCTGTTAAATCAACAGAGCGTCATGCTTAAAACCCGGGTCCTCTTGTAGTTATTAAGAAAACAAGAAAGACCATATACTTTTTTTACCCACAAGGGATAATCCAGTTTTTACTGCGGTGATGTGATACTTTTATTTATTCTGTGTGACTGGCGGAGCCACACACAGTCTAGTATTCAACATACTTATCTCATTTTATTCTCCCTCTTCCGCCACAAATGTTGTAATGCTACTCACCCGGTAGCGTTGACACGAAACACACAAATAATACATCAAAACGTGCGGAGTGACCGGGATCGTGTTGCTATGACTTTTATTAGAGATTCGCTTTGCCGTTCTCACGCAAATCACAGAAAACTGCGATCATTTGCCCGATAGGAATGAATGGGAAATCCATTTGAACAGAGCTCAAAAACACCGCACTTTGACCCAATACAGATTCCGCATATTTTAACGTAGAACAAAAACTACAAGTTTAAAGGATTCTCGAGACTATGGACTTTATTAGACTAATTGGATATTTTTTGATAGCGAGTACGGTTCTCACGTAGTCGCAGTTTACGTTTTGTGAAAATATGACTTTATTTATTTGTAATTATTTTTGTTATCATCATTAAGGTCAAAGGGTTCATATGTCAATGAAAACGATCCACTGTTTACAAATTGCTTGATAATTAAATCATGAATGCTTTATTGATTAACCTGACTTGCATGATTAATAGAAAGGTTGTTTTTGTTTCTAAAGGTAATTGGTTATCGCGTTCAAGCCGTCTGCACAGTTTGATTCGAGGTATATTCATATTGATCCGGCCATAACACCTCGTACTGGTTCCAGAGATCAGTGTTTATATTTCTTTGTACGGTTTCTGATTCTGATTTGATGTAAAGCGTCTTTGAGCACCAGGAAAAGCACTATCACAATTAAATATATTATTATTACACCGTGGTTTCTTATTACAGAGTACACCCTGTAGCGAGTAAAACTCTAACACAGAAAAGACCTGTCTGCTGCCCCAGAACATTTATCTTTGTTACATTGTTTGCTTCCTGGGTACAGTGACGTGCCCATACCCAAATGGCTGTTACGTTAAGTCCGCGGAGCCGTTACGTTAAATCCGTGGATTGGACCAATCCACGGACTTCCTCACACACACACACTCAATCTTTTCTCAGCTGCAGCTCCGCCGATTTCTCCTCTGAGGCTGTGAGTCGGTGTGTGAGCACACACACAAACTCCTAGCAAGGCTGCGGGTGTGTGTGTGTTCGGGCTGGGTTTTGCTGTCTCGCAGACGGCCACTGGGCTCACAGGGAGGGGGGGGGGCAGGAGCTCCAACAAGCCGTTTAGAACAGAGAGTGAACACACATAATATACAGAGATGCTGTTTGAGAAACAATGTGAATCTATTCTAGTAGACCTCAACAATGGAACTATGATCAGTAGAAATGGCCATGACGTGGGACCTTTAAAGTCTTTCATGTTTGTAAAGCACTTTGAATTGCCTTGTGTTGAAAGGCTCTATAAATAAACTTGCCTTGCTTTAGCTAGGGCTGCAAACTGTATATGAATGTAATATAATATCGTGCCTTATCGTTGCTGATGTGTTTTTCCTCCTCAGGTTTGCAGACTTCGTGGAGGGCTCTCCTCACCTGGTGTCCAACGAGGTGTCGGTGCACGCGCAGGAGTACGGCTTCGGAGGGTCATTCTTCGAGGAGGAGTTCTTCGACACGGACGACGAGGAAGACGACGACATGAAACCTCTGAAGATCCCGGAGTGAGACGACGCTTTGTGGAGAATAAAGAGACGATTTAAGTATTGCCTTTCAGGACAAACGATGAGAGGAGAGCCGCTCTGCGCGAGCTAACGTCCGGAGAGAGGAGGACACGGATCGTGGTCTCCAGAGAAATGACAGGAAGTGGAGAGGACTAAAGACGAAGTGATGTAGCTTCAAAGGATGTAAACAAACTCTTTGTTTAGGGAGAATCTGACGGTACTCTGTGATCGGGAGCGCTTTCTTTTGGAGGTCAAAGCTAATGTTTTACTGTGTGATGGCAGCGTGTGCGGGCCAGAGAATGCAAACACTTGAGGAAATAAAAAGTGGGTTTTTTCTGATTAAACTAGATTTATCTTTTATCTCAATGGGAATTAATTCTGCTCTGTTTTTCTGAGTGACTGAAAAATCCCAAAAGAAGCTTTTCCTGGTTTCCTAGAAGTCCCACCTCGTTACTTCTGCCAGGGTTTCAGCCCTGATCGTTGCAGGTGCATCTTTTTAAGTCTCTGAATCATCAGGATCTAGTGGTCACAGATCAGAGCATGTCTGTGTTGTATTGAGACTCAAGTGTCTCCCAATATCTACCAAAACAAGGGGTTGAATGTAAAGCTTCTTTGCATGAAACGTACCCTTCAACTGAGGCTGAATATGTGCCTTCGTTCATTTATAAATAAGAAGTCTTGTGATTAATAATCCCCCATCAGTTTTGCAATTCTGCTTTATTTGTTTTATTGAACATTTGACCCTAAAACCATTAAATACAGTCGATTTTCAACTCTAAAAGTCCCAGAGTATAAATAATAAGAGTCTTTCTTTAAGTATTTATCACGCATTATTACTACAGCGGTGTTTCGTGCAGCCCTGCCGAAGTTTCCCGTTAATTCAGAAAAACAAACAGTATTTATTTCCACGATTTCTCCAAACGTTGAGATGAAATAATCTCTGTTTCTTGAATAAATGCTTGACGCTGTTTGTGTTGTCTTTAGCTCAGGAGAGGTTTTTACGTTCAGTGTGTCTGACCTTTGTGTGTGTTTCACTGTTTTCAATTTAATGGACATGAACACAGGAAGTGTCCCCAAAGTATTTTGAATAAAAAACTATGAATTGAGCTCTGACGTGTTTCCATTAGCTTCATTGTGAGGTAATGAAAGATAAGGGAAGTCCACGAGGCTTTGGGTAATCACGCATGTCTCACTTGAAGCCATGAAGCTGTTATTTAAGCGGCTGCAGAGGAGATTTCTGAAGTGGTGGAAAGGGATTTACTCTCTGCTCCGTCTGTATCCGTGTAACACGAGGCAATCAGATGGAAACATTATGCATAGAAAGAAAATACACAGTTACAACGTCTCAGGAACTGCACCTATTCATCGTCTTGTCCATCAGATCAATTCAGATCCTTCCCATGATCAATGAAGGGTCTCCATAGGGTCTCAAACACAGGCTGTCTAGCTCTTAATATATAGGATATCTCGTCCAATGGGAGGCCTGACAGCATCCGGCGCAGCCAATGAGTGATGAGTGACTTTTCCCAAAACAATGCCATCCAGGTTTTGGCGCGAGCTGAGGACTCTCTATATTCATATAACAGATCTTTGGATCCAGTGAAACCTGCTTTGAAATTATATTCTCTATTCTCCTTCGAGCCTGAATGAAAATTCCCCTATTTTTGGCTGTTTTCCACCAGATTGAGACTTTAGTTTCAACAAAATGCTCAAATTCAAAGTATTCTTGCTAATCATTGGCGAGTTACACACTTTGAAAAATAAATTATAAATGTAAAAAATGCGTCGATGTTGGTTCCAATTTTACACATAAAAAATACTTTATTGTTTATTCATAATAATGTTGTCCTCTTAGGTATAGCTTTTTAAATGTTTTTTTTTTAAAGAAATACAAATAAAATATATTCAATGGGTTTGGGGATGTTCTGATTCTGCGGACCCTCTCTCCTCGCACTATTCTAACTATTGTATCTGTGTTATTGTGTTGCTCTGTTGGAGGAGCCTGAGACCTCAGATTCTCATTGATATATCTACACTGTAGCTATGTTCAAATTACAATAGAAGCCTTGAATCTCACCCCGTGGCATTTCCCCTTGCACTGTGCCCCCTCTTGTGGCGGAAATGAATATTACACGTGGAGCTTATTTTAATACTTAATTCATAATAAAACAAACTAGACTTGATAGCAACATGCTAACTGGAAGAGCAGCAGGGCACAATAGCAATGCTAACAGCTACATTATCACTGGGCAGTTAAACACCAGTGGTTTGAATATAAAGCCAAAACAGTATTCCCAATATCAATCAAACATCATGAAGATATTACTTAATGCTTAAGACTTACACAACAACATTTAAACAATCCAGCTGGACCGTTTTATCCTATCAGACTGCATCGGGCGCTGACATTGGCACCCTATGACCATCAGATCTGACGACGCTGATTGGCTGAAATTATGTTTCGGCGGCATAGTTTACAAATAGCAACAGTCAGCAATGTGTTGGCTGCTGCTGCTCTGGCTGAGGGCTCCTTTCTTAGCGCCCAGACGAGAGAGGGTAATGCGGCCAGGCAGGAAACATGTGACTTATCAGTAACTTTAGACATCGTAACACAATTTTAAACAACATTTTCTTATTTAAATATATTTTAAATTTTAAATTTTATTTTTTAATGACAATCAAACACGTGGGAAGAGGGGGGGGGCGCCCCTAACGCCCCTGTGGGCCGGCCGCCACTGCAAAACAGTATTCCCAATATCAATCAAACATCATGAAGATATTTCAAACCGGAGAGACGTGATGTAAGAATTACATATTTATTGTTTACACGTCATATGAATGAAATGATTGCCACGATAATACAACAGGAGAATGTAATGGTGTTTGGCGATTAGGCCCCGGTTTGCAGGATAATCATTCAGGAGGGAAAGAACCGCTCCGATGAAATCCCCGGGGTCTAGACACTGGTGGTGGTGATGAGTAGGTGAGACCGGTCTGAAGGAGGAAGGTTGAGCTTTGTCCTGAAGGAGACGGGAGGCGAGAGGGGTGGAGGCGGGTTGCGTGTGATCATCTGCAATGACAACTGACAGGGAGGAAGAGCAGGCATTTAAGGAATTTAGCATGTGCAGCGATTGGCTGCTGAGGGGTGACGCCCTCGTATTTAATGAGGGGGGAAGGGAGCCATAGAGTGACGTGTAAGTGACTCGTGTTAGGTCTTCCTTATTGAACTTGCGCTAAAGCTTTCATTACTTAATGCTTAAGACCAACAACATTTAAACAATCCAGCTGGACCATTTTATCCCTGATATTGTTCATTATTCTGTATATGCCAAATATAACCTATAATCATTTCACTTAGCTGTTGTGAAAAACACCTGAACAAGCAAACATGGCGGATCAGCTGCAGGTGGAAGAATCGGGAAAAGACGTTACGTGATGACGTCAGGCGCGATACGAAAGGAAACCACATCGATGCACTTTCACTGATACAAGGAGTCAACAAACTATAGATACAATCCACAACATTACACCAAAGCAGAAAACTGAATCAGAAATATCAAATAGACTTTTAGATTGTATTACTTTAGTTTATTGTTGTATTGGAAATGGATTTAGTGGAGTATAAATACCAACAAACAAAAGTACACTTACCTCATAATGTACTCAGGTATTTGAGTAAAAATACTGAGTGACATTCCGCCACTGAAACGTCATCACGTTGATCCAGCCTGAGCGCGGGGCAGCTGACAGGAGGATGGGGTGCAGAGATATCTGATAATAAGAAAATAAACAAGAACACGAGAGGCTGGTTTGCTCGTTCTTTTAATCCGTCTTCATGGCTCTAACAGCGGACTCAGGGTCGTCCCTCCCTACAGGCCAATCACGCAGACGGTTTGGGGCCTCACCTGGCGGAGGGGGCCTCATCTTGTACCTATGCGCCTGTGCAGCGCAATTAGTGTTGAAGTTGAGTGTGTTGAAGTAGTGTGGCGCGGCACGTTTTCTCCCCCCCCTGTCGACGCTCGCGAAACAGAGGGCCTCATCATATAACTTTGCATGGGGCCTCAAGTTGGCCAGGGACGGCACTGGGACTCCCTCTGCCGCTCCGCCCGCTGATGTCACTCCAAGCCTTAACTCTCATGTCAAAATTCTTCCCAAAGGTCAAGGAATACCATGATCATAACACCAGAGGGAGCTCCACAAATCATGTGAAACCCAGATTTGGCACAAAAAAGGGGGAATACACGTTTCGCAATTATGTCACATCAAGGTGGAACGCTCTTCCCACAACTGTAAAGGAAAGTAAAACTATACTTACCTTCAAAACCTCTCTTAAAGAGCACCTTCGGGGGAGAGCATTGCAAAACTGGCCCCGGTAATGGTACAGATCTCAACCTGTCGTTCAATGGACAGCTTCCCCCCCCATCTATGTATATACTCGCATTTTAGACTCTGTTACTAACTGTATATCTGTAGACTTGGTATGTCTTAAATGTCCGGTTAGGATGTATTAGAACGAAATCTAAAATGTAAATTGTAAATAAGCCATCTGTATGTCAAATATGTCTTATATGTCTTACATGACGAATTGGAAATGGGGGACCCTGATGTAAACAAGACGGAAATCTTTCTCTGGTCTGCATCCCCTTAACAATTGTATGTTTTGAGCTGTACTGTACTGTACCCAATATACAAGCAGTTAATAAACTTTTCAATCAATCAATCAGTCAATCTCCCATACACACCCAAACACTCCAGAGACATGTTCTGTGTATATCTGGACCTATAATATATTGATGAAAAACAGTATAATAGGGGACCTTTAAGTGAGGATTTGAATGCAGGATGTTTACTGGGTGATTTCCACACTGTGGTATTAATATGTTTATTTCAATAACTTTGTTGAGCTTGTTTTTAGCTCTATTTCTATCTCACTGAACATAGTCCCTGTATGACTGTGAACTGGTTCAGCTGATAAGGATGGTTATGAATCAAGAGGAGCTGCAGACAGGAAGGGGAGTTGAAAGTGAAAGTATAAAGTCAGACTTGTCAGAGTGCCAGACGCCATTTTACAGCTCGTCGGAGCAGGAGGAGAACAGGGTGAGTGTTAACACCAGGGTCTGCTTTCTAACACATTATTTACTCTGTTTTACTGGATGTCAGAACATCAGCGTCCTAGAGTCCAAAGAGATTTCTACAAGTGGTGTGAACTGGTTTTATTTCCTGTTTTCTGACTCATCAAAGCAACATAACATGCGACAGCCCAGCGCAGTCAAAATGGAGAGCGGCCTGTCGGAAGTCTGACTGATTTGATGTTTGAACCAAGTGTTAAACTTTCCTGTCGGCTCCCAGACCGTAGTGGAGGACGCAGGGGTGACTCTCTGCAGTCTTCCAGGGCCGAAGCAACACACTTCGGGTTCAATAACCCACTTTTCAATAAGGCTGAGAGGCGAGCTCTTCTTTGGGAGGCCGTTGCATTTATTAAGGTCTTTGTTACAGATCTAACTTTGAAGACACTCGACAGACCTTTGCTGCTGTTTCGTTCACTTCAAAAACACACAGCACCGCTTCTCCGCTCGCTCTCTCTCCCTCGCTCGACCATGCGCACACACATGCACGCGCCTCTCTCTCTCTCTCTCTCTCTCTCTCTCTCTCTCTCTCTCTCTCTCTCTCTCTCTCTCTCTCTCTCTCTCTCTCTCTCTCTCTCTCTCTCTCTCTCTCTCTCTCTCTCTCTCTCTCTCTCTCTCTCTCTCTCTCTCTCTCTTAAAGGGACAGCTGTCTGACTCTGCATGATCCTAATATCATAACACAAGTGTATTATTATGATGGTTATGATTGAAACAAGTGTGTTATTATAATGTGTGTGTGTGTGTTTGTGTGTGTGTGTGTGTGTGTGTGTGTCTCCAGTGTTCGTGGTTTATCTCTCAGACTGGAGAAGATGAGTGATTTAAAAGATGAGGAAGAGGACACATCTCCAGTCCCCAGCTGTCTGTCTCTGAAGAGTGACCGGTCTAAAGACAGACCTCCAAACTTCAGTAATGAACCTGGACCCTCAGACACAAAGTAAGAGTTTCTGCTGTAACCTGACCTGAAGAGCATCCAGTTATTATGTTATCTGATAATTAGTGTGAATGCTGAGCAACAGACTATTGTTCTTCAAATCTTTATTCTTCTACTTATTTCAACCAATGTTTGCCGTTTAACTCCTTCAGCATACTTTCAGCTACAGAAACCATTCAAATATTAAAATGTCCTCTTTTAGCTACACCGTGTGCAAAATGCTTCTCCTTCCACATACTTTCAGCTAGAGACTTCATTCCTACTTTAAAACGGTCACAAGGCATTCAGCTATTTGATATATTTTACACTTTTTGAAATATTAAACTTAGCTTGGAGCTTGGTAAAGAGGCCTTCTTCAGATTTTAACCTTAGTGTGCGCCGCTCGTTAAGTCTAGAGTGCTTAGATCTCAAAACAGAGTGGAGGAGAGCTTGAAATCCGCCTAAAAAGAAATGTTAAACCTGCCATAAGTCCCAAACCCTAAACTCCTGTGACTTCATTTGTTGATGAACATGTAGGAAAACATCTCTTAGGTTGAAAAATAAAAACATTTAAGTGTAGAACTTTTAAAACATATCTGTTGAGGGCAAGGATGTGACAAAAACCTTTCACATGAAACCCTCTCCTTTCACTGATCACTGATCACATCTCCATGGAAACCTTTGATCTCTGGACTCAGACAGGTGTTCTTTTCTTACTACACATTCAAGCCCCCACTGTTCATGTACCCTTCAAAACAGCCAGCCACACTACCTATCACCAGGTGTGACTGTGGCTCTGTGTGACTGCATGGGTCTCTCAACTATAAGGTGGCCGGTTCCATTCCAACAGTCATCATGTTAATATCTTTATACCTTACTCACCGTTAGGGTTTTTTCCAGTTGACAGTCCACTTGATGTACAAACACACTGCATTAAGGTATATCTCCACCCTTTCTGCCCTGAAATGATTTTCTAATCATTATTACTGTTATTAAGGGGCTGCATGAACACTTTTCCTGGGCTAGAAAGTGAGGTGCTGCAGACTGTTCTCTGGGTAACAGTTAATGACACTCTCCTCCTATTTAAAACAGTTTCCCCGACATTTAGAACACTTTTCCCCAGGTTTGCTGCACCTTTACTCCCTTAGAAAGTCAGGTGCTGCAGCCTGTTCTCTGGGTACTCTCTGTCCCTATTTAAAACAGTTCCCCCGACATTTAGAAGGCTTTCCCCCAGGTTTAAAGCACTTTTCTTGGTTTAGAAAGTCAGGTGCTGCAGCTTGCTTCTCACTACAAATGATTTATAATCATTATATTTACATTCAAGTGATTTATTTTAGGCGTTATCAGGCGTTGTTAACACTTTTTTCCATGAAAATGATTTTTAATTACTATCATGGAGCTATATAAATCCATCCCCGGGTAATCCGGAGCACATTTGCACCTTATACTATTTAAATGTATTTGTATTATATATTTTTGGCCTATAAAAGTGACATTTCTGGGTGATTTTGTCAGTTTATGGAGCTTAGCTCAAACATTCTGGAGGTTTCAGGCCAGATATGTGTGCTCACAGACGGCCTGCCAGGCTCACCCATCCGTGGAAAGAAGAAAAAAGTGAAAAAAACGGATAATATGTTTTTAAATAATAAAAAAAGAAATAATTTTTTTTTGGAAAAAATGACTAAGTGCCCACCGGAGAAGCGACCAGACGTTTCCCGCTTCGGCCTGCTGGTACTCATGAGGCCGCCCTTTGAGGGTCTTAGAGCGGATAGAAAGAGGTGGATTTACTGGGGTGTTTTCATGGATGATGGAAATGACCTAAGTACACATGTCAGGGAGACAAGCTGGAGGTCCAGAGTCTGTCCTTTGAGGGTCTTGGAGCGGACAAACAGAGGTGTATTTAAGCACAGAGTCAAGCTTTCATGTTTCTCTCCAGTCTTTTTATTTAATACATTTCTATACACCAATAAATATAATAAAACACTTTAAAAAAGCTTATTCCCAGGCGGTCTCCCATCCAAGTACTGACCCGGCCCGACCCTGCTCAGCTTCCGAGATCGGGAGTGATTTTTTTTTTAATTGTCTTTTATTATAAAAATACATAATTTACATTTTTATAACATAAATCATATAAAAGAGCCCTCAAAGAAAGGGACTCCATGGCCTTACATTCAAGCCAAAACAGATCAAACAAAAAGAAGAAAATAAAGGGATTCACATCCCAGTAACCCTAACTCCTAAAAGTATAGGGGAAACTTTACAAATCATCACACAATCAACATATTTCAAAATCTTAGCTTTCCATCATTAACTTCAATCAATGAGCAACCTTCCACAAAATCCTCCACACAAACCTCCTTTTCCTGGAATAACAGTCCAATGTCTCTTTTTATCGTCCTTTCCATTTTGTCCCATACTTCTTCCATCCTCCCCTCATAATGTGCAATATTTCTTCTTCATTTAACTGCATGTCTTTCAAGACTTAAACAAACATTCAGGAGACCAACATTGCACTCACTCCCCATTCACACCAAACAGCCAGTGTAGCGGCCAAAATCATATAGAACTAAAACAGATAATTAACTTAAAATAATACAGCCGCTGAGGCACTAGTTAGCGGATCTTGATCCAGGTCCAGACAAGATTCTCCGTTGTGCATTTTATTCCTATTACAAAATAAAATTAACAGGTTTCCTATATCTCTTTCCTTTAAGCCTTTCCTATGGCTTTCCTTTGTGTGGCTTGAAACACCCTTTGCCTACTAGTGCTCTGGCCCCACCACCCACCTGTCTCCAATATATACAATTACACCAGGTTCTCTAATCACCCAGTGCCCAAACATGCCTTCAAAATAAAAGCATAGAAACTACTTTCATTTATGACACTAACTAAGAATACATATACAATAAACACTATAAACAGCAAGAGAATACATTTTAAACTATTAAATAATATAAAGAGATATATATAACTCCAACAGCCAGAGCTCCTTCCATTCCAAACACTTTATCAACCTTTCATTCCAACATCTGCCTTTCATTTATTTTATTCTGACAGAAAACACCCTTAATTTACTGCATTCAACAAATTCATGCATACAATTCTCCACTCCCACCCTACATCACATTCTTTCTTCACCTCACTATCAAACATACTTATCACTAAATGATTGAAGATCCTGTTGTGCCTGAACAGGAAATCAAATTGCTCACACTCCACACTGTTACCATTCACTCTCAAGTTCATCCAGATCTTTTTCACATCTAACCTCATCCACTATCACCTGTGCCCTCATGAAACCCGGAACATACTCATACACTAAATCCCTCACAACTCTGAACCCCGCCCCCAACTTGGCAAATTGAAGATGACCTTTTGTTCCTTCACAATCCTTTGATTCAGGAAGATGGGTTGCTTCCACACTTGTTTTGCGCTCACACATTCATATCTCACATTCGACCCCCCCCCCCCATGCACTCACCACTTCCCTCTGAAACTCACTCATCCCCCCTTTCTTAAGGCTCATAAAAATACCACTATCCCCACACCCCCCACACTTATTTAACACATCCCTCAAAAGCACCTTTCATATATGGTCATCCTTTTTATTGAAATACTTTAACATCATTTTAACTCTTATTGTTTTTAGTTTCCTTTCTAAATGTATTCACTGTAATCCTCCATCCTTGTATTCTCCAAAACCTCCCTAGCTATCCTGACCCCTCTCCCTCCCCAAATAAAGTCACTCACCAATTTATTAATTTATTTTATTATCCTTTCTGGACCATCCAAAGCATTCATTACATAAACTAACTTACTCTTAATTAACCCATTAACAACAATGACCTTTCCCCTTAAATTCAGTTTCCTTCTTTTCCAAAATCTCAATGTCTTTTGAACACCATTTACTTTCAAACTGAACATCCCTACCCTCTCCATCTTGTATTCCTAAGTTAACCCCTAGCACGCTAAAGTACTCTTTGTTTTCTTCAGACCTATTTCTACCCTCCCCACACTTTCCTTCCCTAAGACCACACATTCTGATTCCTCTATATTTACCCTCGCCCCTGAAGCCCTATATATCCACACTATCAAACACTCCTTTCATGCTCCCGATATCCTTAACTGTTATCGTGGTGTCATCAGCATGCTGATACACCAAGCTTTCCTTTCCCCCGGTACCTCCACTCCCTTCACATCCTCACTCTGCTGTAGCAGGCCCGCCAGTGGCTCCGCTGACAACGCATACAGCATCGCCGAGAGAGGGCATCCTTGCCGGACTGACCTCCCTAGCCTAAACACATTAGTTAAAATCCCATTCACCTTTACACAACTAACTGCTCTACCATAAACTCTCCTGATCCATCCCACTAGCCTCCTCCCAAGCCCCGCCTTCTCTAACACCTTAAACAAATACCCATGATTCAGACCTCCAAACTTCAGTAAAGAACCTGGACCCTCAGACACAAAGTAAGAGTTTCTGCTGTAACCTGACCTGAAGAGGATCCAGTTCTTATATAATCTAATATATTAAACTGTTCTTTAATAATATCATGTGTGCAGTATAGTACAGAACAAAGCAGAGTACAGCAAGCTAACATTATTATTATTAACAGTTAATGACACTCTCTCTTTAAGTGGACGTCACATTTCCATTGTGCGGAAGTTTGTCCAATGGCACGAAGCGTCCCACGTTATTTGTGTCCAAAAAGAGGAAGTTTCCCTAACTACAATGTATCAGCTAGTTATTGCAGGATAACACGTACTTAGTGGAGATTGATCAACTACTTAAACTATTGCACATCTTTTAAACATTATTACTAAAAGCCACTTGTTTATTCAGCTGCAGTCACCATTCAGCTTTTCAAATACTCAGCTTTCTCTGCTTTTTCAGCGGGAAATGCCTTTTCTAGTCGAACCTGTTCTTTAATGATCACAGTAAAGAAACTTAGTAACAGTACAGTAACAAAGCTTAAACTCTTGATCCCTTGCGTCATCAGCGATAGTAAATAATCTACACACAGACAGAAGTCAAAATGTGCTCTCTGAATGAACTAATGATGTTTAAAACATGTGTTGTTTCCACAGACAGAGAGCAGAGTCTCCAGTCCCCAGCTGTCTGTCTCTGAAGAGTGACCGGTCTAAAGACTTTCCTCTAAACTTCAGTAAAGAACCTGGACCCTCAGACACAAAGTAAGAGTTTCTGCTGTAACCTGACCTGAAGAGGATCCAGTTTTTATATAATCTAATATGTTAAACTGTTCTTTAATAATATCATGTGTGCAGTATAGTACAGAACAAAGGCAGCAGAGTTCAGCAAGCTAACGTTATTTGAGGTTATTTCAATATGCATTGATAGCATCGTTGTATCAGTGGCAGAACATGGTTTCAAATGGCAAAGATATTGATAAATACTCACTAGAAACTAAATATATCGTCCAAAACATGATTTACTACTTGGGTATGTTTATGATGTATTTTAAAGATGTTTATTAATGATAGTGATGACCTGGTGAGCTGGTTGTGTTTAGCATTAGCAGATATAACAGAGTTGTGTGATTACATGTAGAGTCAATGCAAAGACCCAGATCCGTGCCTGGCAACACCAAGAAAGTGAAGAGGTGAAATTCAGTCAGCTGCGTATTCCTGCAGCGTGACACATTTCATCTTTCATTACATTTCATCTGTTCCGTTCATGGTATGCACAACTTAACGTATAACAAACATTTACAAAACATGTCTCTATATGAAAACAACCCAAGCTACACGTGAAGCACACTCGGAAACAAACAAGTTTGTTCTCCTAGCAACAGGAATCGAATAAACCACTAGCAGTGTCAACCGACCACCACAAGGTGGTGCCAAACACAGCCAAGAAACACATACATGACAGATATCCACCAAACACACATCAAGGACAGAACACTCCCCAAACCCGCTATTGCTCCTTCCACTTCCCCTTTCCCTATTTCCCCCTCACACCTCTCTCTCTCTCTCTCTGTCTCTCTCTCTCTCTCTCTCTCTCTCTCTCTCTCTCTCTCTCTCTCTCTCTCTCTGTCTCTCTCTCTGTCTCTCTCTCTGTAATACACAAGTGTATTATTATGATGGTTATGATTGAAACAAGTGTGTGTGTGTGTGTGTGTGTGTGTGTGTGTGTGTGTGTGTGTGTGTGTGTGTGTGTGTGTGTGTGTGTGTGTGTGTGTGTGTGTGTGTGTGTGTGTGTGTGTGGTGTGTGTGTGTGTGTGTGTGTGTGTGTGTGTGTGTGTGTGTGTGTGTGTTGTATCTCTCAGACTGGAGAAGATGAGTGATTTAAAAGATGAGGAAGAGGACACATCTTCAGTCTCCAGCTGTCTGTCTCTGAAGAGTGACCGGTCTAAAGGCAGACCTCCAAACTTCAGTAAAGAACCTGGACCCTCAGACACAAAGTAAGAGTTTCTGCTGTAACCTGACCTGAAGAGGATCCAGTTCTTATATAATCTAATATATTAAACTGTTCTTTAATGATATCATGTGTGCAGTATAGTACAGAACAAAGCAGAGTTCAGCAAGCTAACATTATTATTATTAACAGTTAATGACACTCTCTCTTTAAGTGGACATCACATTTCCATTGTGCGGAAGTTTGTCCAATGGCACGAAGCGTCCCACGTTATTTGTGTCCAAAAAGAGGAAGTTTCCCTAACTACAATGTATCAGCTAGTTATTGCAGGATAACACGTACTTAGTGGAGATTGATCATCTATACTTAAACTATTGCACATCTTTTAAACATTATTACTAAAAGCCACTTGTTTATTCAGCTACAGTCACCATTCAGCTTTTCAAATACTCAGCTTTCTCTGCATTTTCAGCAGGAAATGACTTTTCTAGTCGAACCTGTTCTTTAATGATCGCAGTAAAGAAACTTAGTAACAGTACAGTAACAAAGTTTAAACTCTTGATCCCTGGCGTCATCAGCGATAGTAAATAATCTACATACAGACAGAAGTCAAAATGTGCTCTCTGAATGAACTAATGATGTTTAAAACATGTGTTGTTTCCACAGACAGAGAGCAGAGTCTCCAGTCCCCAGCTGTCTGTCTCTGAAGAGTGACTGGTCTAAACAGGAACCTATATACTTCAGTAAAGAACCTGGACCCTCAGACACAAAGTAAGAGTTTCTGCTGTAACCTGACCTGAAGAGGATCCAGTTTTTATATAATCTAATATGTTAAACTGTTCTTTAATAATATCATGTGTGCAGTATAGTACAGAACAAAGGCAGCAGAGTTCAACAAGCTAACATTATTTGAGGTTATTTCAATATGCATTTATAGCATCATTGTATCAGTGGCAGAACATGGTTTCAAATGGCAAAGATATTGATAAATACTCACTAGAAACTAAATATATCGTCCAAAACATGTTTTACTACTTGGGTATGTTTATGATGTATTTTAAAGATGTTTCTTAATAATAGTGATGACCTGGTGAGCTGGTTGTGTTTAGCATTAGCAGATATAACAGAGTTGTGTGATTACATGTAGAGTCAATGCAAAGACCCAGATCCGTGCCTGGCAACACCAAGAAAGTGAAGAGGTGAAATTCATGTCAGCTGCGTATTCCTGCAGCGTGACACATTTCATCTTTCATTACATTTCATCTGTTCCGTTCATGGTATGCACAACTTAACGTATAACAAACATTTACAAAACATGTCTCTATATGAAAACAACCCAAGCTACACGTGAAGCACACTCGGAAACAAACACGTTTGTTCTCCTAGCAACAGGAATCGAATAAACCACTAGCAGTGTCAACCAACCACCACAAGGTGGTGCCAAACACAGCCAAGAAACACATACATGACAGATATCCACCAAAAACACATCAAGGACAGAACACTCCCCAAACCCGCTATTGCTCCTTCCACTTTCCCCCTCACCTGTCTGTCTGTCTGTCTGTCTCTCTCTCTCTCTCTCTCTCTCTCTCTCTAGTCAAGTCCTAAACTTTGACAAAACGAGTCATAAACAAGTCATTATGTGTTTTTCACCAAATGTAATGACATCGATCAACAGAATAATACTTAATAATCAAATTGCTCTTTATTAGTCACATTAATAATTTAATAATCCATTTTCTCTCTGCTGGTAAAGTAACGTGTGTTTTTCTAATTTAAGAGGGATCAGTAAGGTAAGGCTACTGTGACGGTTTGATTCAGAAGGAGTTTAATGTATAAGATCCCTGATGTTGAGGTAACCAGAATGTTTATTTCCACTGTGTACAACATGTTATAAGGGACCCACAATCTATCTTTATGCAAGGGATAATGTGCAGCGAGGCGGTCTCTATGGGGAAAAGAACACCTGCATCTAGATCCCTCTGCAGGTGGTACTTTAAGTATATTTTGATGCCAATACTTTTGTACTTTTACTTGTAACATTTTGAATGCAGGACTTTTTATTGTACAGGGTTCCTGCAGGTTTCGCCAACTCAAATTTAAGACTTTTTAACACCTTTTTAAGACCACTTTGAATAGAATTTAAGACCTATTTCACGGCAATAAAGTATGAAGGAAAATGTATATAAAGAAGAAATACGTCCCATAATCACTTACAAAGTAAATGTATTCATGTTCAACATAAGAACAATGACTGAACACAACAGCGTAACAGTACAGAACTGTGTTAGCGTGTTAGACAAAAAGTGTGTATGTGTGTGCGCTTGAGTGTGTTTGTGTGTTAGGGCTGTGCAATTAATCATATTTTAATCGCAATTACGATTTTGGCCTGCCACAATTACGAAAACAACATAATCGGAAAAAACGATTATTTTGCTTTGCTAGGTTGTGACAGTGCACCACAACATATTTGATCTAATGATTTTTTTAGTAATGTATCATTTATTTAATTAATTTTTGTATTAGTTTTTCAGTTGAATTATACGTTCAGGGTAATCAACAGTTCAAAAGATACTGTTCAAATTATTATTTGTTTTAAAGTTCAATAAATGGATGTTTTCAAAGTCAATGAATAATCATATTTAATAATCGTGATATTAATTATTGACCAACATAATCTTGATTATTGCCATAATCGAGCAGCCCTAGTGTGTGTGTGTGTGTGTGTGTGTGTGTGTGTGTGTGTGTGTGTGTGTGTGTGTGTGTGTGTGTGTGTGTGGTGTGTGTGTGTGTGTGTGTGTGTGTGTGTGTGTGTGTGTGTGTGTGTGTGTGTGTGTGTGTGTGTGTTATTATATTCAGAGCTCTGCTGCCTTGGCTACACTATTTCATCGTTGCTGTTGTATGATTGGTGTTTAGCTACGTTATTTAGCGTCTACAGCACCTCCGCTTTTAGGGTTGACGTAGACCCAAACTTCGCCCGGAGGTCCCCCGGTGTTGTTGCGGGAGCTGCGGCACTAGCTAACGCTACATTAGCAAAACAAACGCTAATTTATTTTGCAAAAGATGCAGCGGGCTTCAAACACGTTCCCTCCACTGGTTTCAACCAAGCACTAAATTAGATGTTTTCCAACAAAATACGATTGAACTGACACTTCCCCATATTTATTTGTAAGTAGATTCGAAGATAGGCTACATGAGCTGAAGCTTGGTTGCTAGGTTACTAGCTGGGTGTTCTCCAATAAGGGGCCGAGGGAAACAAAGTTAGTGATTACTGGTTCCATGTTGATTTAATTCAATACAAATTGTTGGGGGGAACTGAAAGGCTATTACCGTACTGGTTACTTTGCAGCCCGGACATTTCCCCCAAAACACATTTAGACGCTATCGCAACACAGAAGTACCTTTCAAATCCGATAATTTTTAAGACCTTCTGAATCATATTTAAGACCTTTTTAAGGCCTTAAAAACCCTGCTCTGAAGGTTATTTTCATTTTACAAATCCTGCACTCAGCTTTGCTTTCTCCAATATCATTGAAAAGCAGCCAGATGCTGCTTCTTTTTTCAGTTTTCGCTCATTTCTTGACTTTTTCCGACGCGCTTGCATTTAAATCCGTCTCCCCGTCGCTCTGTGCAGCTGGCCAGTACCACTACACATGCTGTGCCCCCCACCCTTCTTTCACATAATGGTATGATCCTAGTGTGTCCTCGCATATGATTGGCCGCATGGTGGGCCAGCTAAATAAAGACCCGCCCCTGCCTGCAAGGATTCTCAGCAAGAGTAGGAGCGGCTGAAGATTCTGCTCTCCCCGACGGGAGTCTGCTCTTCCAACGGCAGCTCGCAATCGGCGTGTCGGAGACCTCTGAATTAAAGTAGCAAGTCACCTCAAGTCAGAAGGCTCAAGTCCAAGTCAAGTCCCGAGTCATTGGTGTTCAAGTCCAAGTCGAGTCGCAAGTCTTTTGTGATGTTGTCAAGTCGAGTCTCAAGTCATAAAATGTGTGACTCGAGTCTGACTCGAGTCCAAGTCATGTGACTCGAGTCCACACCTCTGGTGGATACTGCCCTGAATGACAGACTTTTTTCCCACTCGTAAAGAAAAGGCGTATTTGTCGTGTGATTGCATGTGCCGAACCGTGACGTACGAACCGTGACGGTACGGGACGAATGCGGATACCGTTACACCCCTAGAAACATTAAATTCTCCATTCCTTACCCCGTGTCTGGACCTGCCCCCTTGCATCTTGCATTTTCCTCCCCATTGTCTCTCTTCCTCTGGCTCGTCCCCTCGCCGTCACACAGGAACTCCCAGGGACCCCTGCACCTCTCAGAGCCTCCTCTCCCATCCCGTCCTCTCTCTCCTTCATATCCACTTTATCGTCTGCAGACTTTCTGTTGCAGCTCCGGTTCTTCTGCGTCTGGTTCTTATTATCGAAGACCCAGCCACCGTCCAGATCCTGCTCTCCCACCAGCACCTGGACTATCTCCCCCTCCGACGCTGATGAAGCCTCCTCCACAGCCACGACCCCGCTCTCCTCCTCGCTCGGCTGCTTCTCCATCTCCATCTCCATCTTCCCATCATCTTCATCCCCTCCCGCACAGCTCAACCTCCCATCTCCAGCTCCCCATCATCAGACTCCTCCTCCTCCTCCTCCTCCTCCTCCTCCTCCTCCTCCTCCTCCTCCTCCTCCTCCTCCTCCTCCTCCTCCGTCTGCCCCTCCCCATCATCAGACTCCTGCTCCGTCTGCCCCTCCCCATCATCAGACTCCTCTTCTTCCGTCTGCCCCTCCCCATCATCAGACACCATTTCTTCCCTTCTTTCCACAATAAACTGGAGCTTCCAAATCAAAACTTTCTTCGAACAGTTCAGCACGCTGTTTACCTCGCACTCTGTGCCTCTAGTCCAGGGGTGGGGAACCTGCGGCCCCCGGGCCGTATACGGCCCGCTAGACAATTTGGTACGGCCCTCGAGGTAATTTATAAACACGCAAAAAAGAAACAAATTGAAGAAATCTAGACCGCAAAAAAATTAAACAAGTGAGTGCTTGTTCCTGGCCAAGGTCGGGATCCTTGAACACAACACAAGCCTAACGTGTCATCACGTGGTATATGTCTCGTCTGACAGGGGTGCAGTTCTGACGGAGAGCACCAGAACGCGGCTCTGGCACTTCCAAAAATTGCAGTACCGATAAGGAGCCAGTGGCGTTGCGCAATATTTCGGGGCTCCCCCGCAGGTCGGACCATGGGGCCCCACCCCCTCCCCTAAATCAATAATAGAGTGACATGGGATAGACATCGCGGCCACTTTTTTAAATGTTTAATTTTTCAGGCATCTTTTGTAAACAGTAGGCCTATAGGTCAGTAGGAACTTTCTGTATAGATACATCTGATTTAAACAGTATAGGGTCAGTAGGAACTTTCTGTATAATATACATCTGATTTAAACAGTAAGGTCAGTAGGAACTGTATAATAATATACATCTGATTTAAACATCATTGACAAATACAAACAAGTGGCTGTGTATTTTTTGTAACATGAAGGTATATTGTAGAACGTTATAGCCTATCATCATTGGAGTTCACACAACGGAACGGTTCACATATATATAACATTCTGTATAAAAGAAAAGTAGCCTACAAAAAACAAACAAATAAAACACATCCTATATAGGCTACAAAGAGGATGCAATCAGGAGCTGCTTTGTAGGCCTATTATTTTATACGAGCGCAGCTCCTGGCATTCTTCTGCGCAAAGTCCTGTATAACAGTCTTTAAATCTATACTGCGCGCGCGTCGGCTCTCAATACTAAGGACTGCTAACCCAGACAGTCTCTCTTGCGACATTGTGCTCCTCAAATTTGTCTTTATTAATTTAAGTTTTGAGAAAGATTTCTCAGCACTGGCAACAGTCACGGGTATAGTTAAAAACAATTTCAGTGCTGTGGCAACATCGGGGATACTTGGCAAAATGGACTGATTTTCAATGAGCAGGGTTTGTGCAAGGTCTTTGATTGTTCCACGCTCAATTTTCTTTATAGTAGGCCTAAGAGCATTACGGAGGGACAGGATCTGGAAAGGAAACTCGGCTGACAGGTCGTCTTTATACTGGCCTGATAAAGCACTTGCGGACTCAGACAGATCCTTGTCTGTTGCACGCAAAAGTTTGCGGGGAAGCAGAAAAGAAAATCGCTGTGCAACTTCGCTCATTCCAACAAATCGATTTTTGAGTTGGGCAACGACAATATCGATATTTGCGTAAAATACCGCCACTCTAAAATGCTCCCCTGGGTCTTGGAGCCGCTGGTCCTCGCAAAGCTCTGAAAAGTGCCTCTTTGTGCGCCTTGCGCGTCTGTCTTTGAAGAGACTGTGGACACCCCATGAGGATGCCAGGTCTTGCGCGTGCGCTTTTAAGCCATCAAACTCTCCTCGGAGTTGGGCAAGTGTATCGGTTGCGTTACCAAGCATTGCTGTCGCCTGTAAGAGGTCCACATCTTTGCGCTGGAGAGCTTGGGACACAATGTTGACTGTTTCAAGGACCTTGCCCTGTATTACAGTCATTACAACAAACTCAAAGCTCTCCATGGCCTTTTTCAAGCCAGTCGCCTCGGCACGTTCCTCGCTTTTTTTGGAGAGCAAGTCTATCTTAGTTAGCGCTTGCATAATGTCAGCATAACAGAACCGCAATGATTGGACGGCGTCTTGTCTTGATGCCCATCGTGTCGGGCATAGTCTCTTCAGTGTAGGCTGGCCAGCCTTGGGCACTGAGAGGTGTGTTTCCAAAAGCTCCCATCGTTTGATGCTTCCACTAAAGAATACATATAGCCTTTCAACAGTGTCGTAGAAGTCTTTTATCTCAGGTATATTTTGGCATGCGTCATTGAGTACAAGGTTTAAATTGTGCGCAGCACAATGAATGTACACTGCGTTGGGCTCTTTATCCCTTATGCGTTTTTGTACACCGGAGTAGACGCCACTCATATTGCTAGCCCCGTCATATCCTTGTCCGCGGCACTTCCCAAGTAGTATCCCCTTTCTCTCCATCGATTCGAGAATTTCTCTCTCTAGACCTGCAGCAGTTTGGTCTGTGACTGCATGGAAGCCCAAAAAACTTTCGTTTATTTTCACCTCTGTAGGGTTTCCATTTTCATCATTTGCTATAGTAACATATCTGAACACTTGACTCAGTTGGTCTACTTTTGAAATGTCCTGGGTAGTATCCATTATAATCGAATAGAATTCTACATTCTGTATGTCTGTAATGATTGTGTCCTGCACTTTTTTCGATAGCAATGAAATTATTTCGTTTTGAGTTTGAGGACTTAGGTAGTGCACCTTCTTTTTGCTTTCAATAAGCCTTTGCAGAACTGGATCATAACGCGCCATAAGTTCTATGGTAGATAAGAAATTACCATTATCTATATCACCTATTTTCTCTCTGTGACCCCGGAAAGCAGAGTTGCGAGAGGCCAGTGTTAGTGTAACATCAGTTATTCTGGTTAGGACCTCGGTCCAAAACCCCACCTCTCTCTTAAACTCAGATGATATTTGCGCGTCAATGGTCAGATTATTTTTCCACGTATCATACACGACACATGCTGCCAAATGAGAGCGAGAGAATTCGTGTTCCTTAATCTTTTTAGAGAGACCCTGCCAATCATTTATTCCTATTCTCCACGCTTGGTGGAGGTGATGGGCAGACGGTCTGTCACCGAACAGCCAGCACTGCTCACAGTACACCCGGTCCATAGATGGCGAGTAACATAGCCACTTTCGTGGAATTCTACATCCAATTTTGGATGTTTTGTTATAGAACTCTTTTGAAAAGCACCTTCCCTTCCCATCCCTTTTGAATGGCCCTTCAGGCTTGCATGGCCCGTTATTCAGAATGTACCGTTTAACATCATCGTCTTCTAAATCTACAGGGAATTTCCCCCTATCAGTAGGGTATTCAGTCACAGAGTTGTCGCTGGCCAACGTGTCCCTGGGGTGGGTGGGAGCTGCTGTCACTGTCGGGGCACGGCTAGCTGGCTGGGCAACCTTGGCTATGTCTGAACTGGCCTCGGAGGGGGCACAGCTGACTTCTTGCTGACCTGCAAAAAGGAACGGATTATATTGCAATTCCAATGTAACCTGTAGCATACTGAATCGTACTGTTTATGGCGATTGGCGAATAAAACGTTCTATTATTCTAACCTGTCTCGAAGCGTGAGGCACGACTAGCTGGCTCGGCTGTAACGGGGCTGCTGGGGTCTGTGGGGGCACGGCTAGCTGGCTGGGCAGCCTTGTCTATGCCTATGTCTGAACTGGCCTCGGAGGGGGCACAGCTGACTTCTTGCTGACCTGCAAAAATGAACGGATTAGATTCCAATTCCAATGTAACCTGTAGCATACTCTTACTGGTTATGGCGAATAAAACTTTCTATTATTCTAATGTCTAACCTGTCTAGCTGTAACGGGGCTGCTGGGCTGTCTGCCTGGACTCGGAGCTGACGGCCGGGGGGGGTTGCTAGCGGTCTATCTGCAGTAACGTTAGAGTCTACGTCTACCTTTGCTGCCTGCCGGAACAATGACGTTATTTTAGGTAGTTTTGCCCTCTCCTGTTCGGCTTTCGCTCTCATTTTGCTTTTCTGAGCACCGCTTGGGTAGTGGCGCTTCATTTTTCATGTTTACCGGCAACGCAACTAATGAACGTTATTTATATGAGCAATGCTTCCCGCTTTGTTTTGAACGCTGCCCAGCCTGCCAATGAACATTAGTTATCAGCCGGCTAGCCCTATCGCAGGTGAGCAAATAATTATAATGATACACTGTTGTACTACTACAGGCAGCGTACACATGACGTAGCAACATAGCAGGGAGGGGGGGGGCCCGCCCTCTGCGCCCTGTTCCCGCGTTACGAAATCTAAGAGGATAGCCTACAGTGGGGGCGGGGCCCCCTAAGCTCCGGGGCTTAGGTGCGGGGGCCTCTGCTACGCCACTGTAAGGAGCCGTACACATGCCGCAGTTTCTGCGTGGCTGTGTCTTTAGTTGAAAGCCCAGTAGCGATCTGTTCATCCGTCATACTGATCATACAGTCAATAACTGTGTTGTTATTAGCATCTGGTTAGCTAACTATGCTAACGAATATAAGAAGCTTTTTCTACAACCAGTGAGGTAAAGGCAGATATTTATATGATCATTATAGTTATACGAAAATAAGAGAATAAAGTAAACAGGTATAAAATACTGACGGTAACAAAAAGTTGTTATTAATAAACAAGAATACAGTTTGAAAGGGGAGTGATTTGTAAAATATCCATAAAGAAAATAAATCTGCTTACAGTTCTGTTTCATATGGGTGTTGAGAGATGTATCCATAGATCTAATGTTGCTCTCAAAGTGCAAAAATCTTCATGTCCACATGAATAGGAAACTAAATAAATGTGCACACATCTTGTGTCCATATATCTTTCTGTTTTGGTGGTCATGCCACAACCGTGCACGTGAATACATGTGCGAGTCATGGCAAGATATTTGGATTAAAAGGTTGCTTTTTCTTTGCACAGCATGAAAGAAAGGTGAAATGAATGAGCTGTGATTTTAGTATTTTTAAGCAGAGGTCAGTCATTTGTACGGCCCTCGGAGGATGTTGAAAACATTGAAATGGCCCTTGAGAGCGGATCAGGGTGGTATGGCCGTAAGCAAAGAGTGTGGAGGGATAGGCGCTTCTTATGGGTCAGAGAGGGGCTCCTATGCTGGAGGTCCCAGGGCCGAGTTTGGGTGCTGACAGGCGGACTGCCCCCCTCCATGTCGATGGGGGTGCTGCAGGGGGCCCAGGCCGTGCTGTGAGCCCGTCTCCCCCTCTTCAGCACCTGGGAGCTCTCCGGGCCCTGGAGAGGCATTTTCAGGCTTCCCCTAAAAATGAATTGTAATCAATACTTTTAGATGTAAATGGTTTATTGTATCATTACTATGGGTCTCTGAAACAATCTGACTTTTACCACACTGTTACCAGACTGTTATCAGAGTTTTATCAGACTTTGATCAGACTTTTAGCACTCTTTTCCCCCAGAAACGGCTTTAAATCATCAGTGTCACTATTGTTGGGATTGAGGAATGTTCCTGTGTCTGGTGTGGAGCCTCCCTGCACTTTAAATTAACTGATTTGCCTTTTTTTATTGTATTTTCTACTGTTAATGCACTGTGCCCATGTCGGGTGATGAGCCCTCCTGTGTGGAAACATAGGAACTGCACTTAAATCACTTGGTGCTTTTTAACCGGTTTAAAATCGTGGGTTAGAAAGTGAGGTGCTGCAGACTGTTCTCTGGGTAACAGTTAATGACACTCTCTCTTTAAGTGGACATCACATTTCCATTGTGCGGAAGTTTGTCCAATGGCACGAAGCGTCCCACGTTATTTGTGTCCAAAAAGAGGAAGTTTCCCTAACTACAATGTATCAGCTAGTTATTGCAGGATAACACGTACTTAGTGGAGATTGATCAACTACTTAAACTATTGCACATCTTTTAAACATTATTGCTAAAAGCCACTTGTTTATTCAGCTGCAGTCACCATTCAGCTTTTCAAATACTCAGCTTTCTCTGCATTTTCAGCGGGAAATGCCTTTTCTAGTCGAACCTGTTCTTTAATGATCGCAGTAAAGAAACTTAGTAACAGTACAGTAACAAAGCTTAAACTCTTGATCCCTGGCGTCTTCAGCGATAGTAAATAATCTACATACAGACAGAAGTCAAAATGTGCTCTCTGAATGAACTAATGATGTTTAAAACATGTGTTGTTTCCACAGACAGAGAGCAGAGTCTCCAGTCCCCAGCTGTCTGTCTCTGAAGAGTGACTGGTCTAAACAGGAACCTCTAAACTTCAGTAAAGAACCTGGACCCTCAGACACAAAGTAAGAGTTTCTGCTGTAACCTGACCTGAAGAGGATCCAGTTTTTATATAATCTAATATGTTAAACTGTTCTTTAATAATATCATGTGTGCAGTATAGTACAGAACAAAGGCAGCAGAGTTCAGCAAGCTAACATTATTTGAGGTTATTTCAATATGCATTGATAGCATCATTGTATCAGTGGCAGAACATGGTTTCAAATGGCAAAGATATTGATAAATACTCACTAGAAACTAAATATATCGTCCAAAACATGTTTTACTACTTGGGCATGTTTATGATGTATTTTAAAGATGTTTATTAATGATAGTGATGACCTGGTGAGCTGGTTGTGTTTAGCATTAGCAGATATAACAGAGTTGTGTGATTACATGTAGAGTCAATGCAAAGACCCAGATCCGTGCCTGGCAACACCAAGAAAGTGAAGAGGTGAAATTCATGTCAGCTGCGTATTCGTGCAGCGTGACACATTTCATCTTTCATTACATTTCATCTGTTCCGTTCATGGTATGCACAACTTAACGTATAACAAACATTTACAAAACACGTCTCTATGAACACACCTTTGACCGAAAAGGAGCAGGGAGCAGAAAATAATCTTCTGTGACCTGCCCCTTTCTAAACACATAAACAGATGGTCTGTCCTTCATATGTTCTTATTCACAGCCACACATCACAGCATCGTAGGATAATAAGAGAAACACGAACTAACAAAAATACTTAGTTCCCTCTTGACAGTTAACGGAAAGAAACAAAACAACAACAACAACAACACCAACAACACCAAAACATCACATGAACAAGGAAAAGTGCAGCACCCTCACCTGAGTCCTACTGGAGGAGAAGAGTCTTGAGAGAGACGTTTGTGACGCTCTGCCCTTTGGTGAGAATCAGCTCCACTAATGTAAAGTGCTGTAAAGGATGTGTTCATCTCCACAGAGGGAAGAGGAAGAGTGGTGTTCCTGTGGAGGAGCAGCTGTCCAGCTGTGCTCTGTGTCAGGACGTCCTGAAGGATCCAGTCTCTACCAGCTGTGGACACTGGTTCTGCAGACAGTGCATCACCTCATACTGGGAGCAGAGACCTCCATCAGGAGACCCCTCCTGTCCCCAGTGTGGAGAAAGACCCAGAACCAGAGCTGGACTGCAGACAGCCAGCCAGACCAGCTCTGTACGAGGTAAGAGGCCGAACACACGCAGCGTTTTATTCCTCTTCCTGGTTCCTTTGTTTCTGAATAGGTATACTGTTGAAGAGCAGAGACAGTAAGCTGTTTATACAACATTTAAACTCAGTCTGTTGTTTGTTGTTTTATTGTTATAATTAGATTCTCAGAGCATTTTCCTCATTCTCTCACGTTTCCTTCTCTTCCAGCAGAACGTGGTCTGCAGGAGGTTTTAGATGAACATAGGCTCAGTCTGAGGAGGAGATGTGAACGTGTGACTGAAGGAATTGATCAAAGTGAAACCCTCCTCAACAGCATCTTCACTGAGCTCTACATCACACAAGGCCAGAGTGAAGAGGTTAATACCCAACATGAGGTGAGGCAGCTGGAGGCAGCTTCCAAGAAGAAGCCCCTCCATGACACTCCAATCAAGTGCCAGGACATCTTTAAAGCCTTACCTGACCAACAGACTCTCATCAGAGCGGTCCTGACCAACGGAGTCGCTGGAGTTGGAAAAACCTTCTCAGTGCAGAAGTTCACTCTGGACTGGGCCGAGGGTTTGGGAAACCAAGATGTCAGTCTGGTGATCCCGCTCTCCTTCAGGGAGCTGAACCTGATCAAAGGAGAGCAGTACAGTCTTCTCAGGCTGCTCCATGTTTTCCATCCAACCTTACAGAAGGTCACAGCAGAGCAGCTGGCTGTCTGCAAAGTGCTGCTCATCTTTGACGGCCTGGATGAAAGCAGAGTTTCTCTGGACTTCAGAAACAATGAGGTTGTGTCTGATGTCTCACAGCAGTCCTCAGTCAACGTGCTGCTGACAAACCTCATCAGGGGGAAGCTGCTTCCCTCGGCTCTCGTCTGGATAACTTCCAGACCTGCAGCGGCCAATCAGATCCCTCCTGAGTGTGTGGACAAGGTGACAGAAGTACGAGGCTTCACTGACGCCCAGAAGGAGGAGTACTTCAGGAGGAGATCGAGTGATGAAGACCTGTCCAGCAGAATCATCTCTCACATCAAGAGCTCCAGGAGCCTCCACATCATGTGTCTGATCCCAGTCTTCTGCTGGATCACTGCTGCAGTTCTGGACCACATGTTGACTACAGACCAGAGAGGAGAGCTGCCCCAGACCCTCACTGGCATGTACTCACACTTCCTGCTGGTCCAGACCAAGAGGAAGAAGCAGAAGTATGAAGAGGGACATGAGACGAGTCCACAGCAGCTGACGGAGGCTGACAGGGAGGTTCTTCTGAAGCTGGGGAGGCTGGCGTTTGAACATCTGGAGAAAGGAGACATCATGTTCTACCAAGAAGACCTGCAGCGCTGTGGCCTTGGTGTCACTGAGGCCTTGGTGCACTCAGGAGTTTGTACACAGATCTTCAAAAGAGAGAGTGTGATCTTCCAGAAAACAGTCTACTGCTTTGTTCATCTGAGCGTTCAGGAGTTTCTGGCTGCAGTCTACATGTTCCACTGTTACACCAACAGAGACACAGCGGTACTGAAGGACTTCCTGAGGAGAGACCGGGACGAAGACAATGAAAGCAGTGATGGTTATGATGAGGATGATTACCAATCCCTGAAGAGTGACTATAACAACAGCAGAGATCAGGATTACCCATCCCTGCCTGTCTTCCTGGAGGGAGCCATGCAGAAATCTCTCAGAAGTAAAAATGGCCACCTGGACCTGTTTGTCCGCTTTCTCCACGGCCTCTCTCTGGAGTCCAACCAGAGGCTGTTAGGAGGCCTGCTGGGTCGCACAGACAACAGACCAGAAACCATCCAGAGAGCCATCAGCAACCTGAAGGAGATGAGCAGTGGATATATCTCTCCTGACAGGAGCATCAACATCTTCCACTGTCTGACAGAGATGAAAGACCTCTCAGTACATCAGGAGATCACAGAGTTCCTGAAGTCAGAGAACAGATCAGAGGAGAGACTCTCTGAGATCCACTGCTCTGCTCTGGCCTACATGCTGCAGATGTCAGAGGAGGTTCTGGATGAGTTGGACCTGGAGAAGTACAAAACATCATGGGAGGGACGACGGAGACTGCTTCCAGCTGTGAGGAACTGCAGGAAGGCCAAGTAAGTCCAGATGTGATTAACTTTGTAATCTAAAGTGGATCAGGAGTTTAATTATTCAAATAAACACGATAACATTTATGCTGTTTAAATACTGAGAGCAAAATAAAACCAACACTGTTCTTCTATTTATTTATAATGTTAGTTAAACTGAAGCGTTCCTCTCTTCATATTGAGTGAAGGAGGCGACATGTCAAACACATGAAGGACTTGAGAGGTTTCTCAGCATGTGATCACACAACCCAGTCTCACGGCATTTCGTGTTCACCAACACGATTTGCCCCTTTTTTTCGTGTTGCACAGCACGATTTTAAAAGCAATGTATTTCTACTGCCTGCAGCAAGTCTTTTTCTCCGGTCGGGTCGAGGAAGACCTGAAGCTGTGTGGTTCATAAAAACATGTTCTTACTCAATATCAAGCCACAATTATTGCTTTTATTTTAAAATCGTATAATTTCGGACTTTTGTTGCCGGCTGTGAGGAAAATAAATGGGGCTCAGAGCCTCAGAATACTGAAATCTGTATTTTTTAAATATTTTGTTCCTTCTAATTTGTTATTCTTTTCAAAATAACACACTGTTATTTACTCACCAATAACACACAATTATGCTTGCTTTTATTTATTGGTTTAATTCCATAATCTCGGGCTTTTTTGGCCTCCGTCAGGGACTGAATTTCAAAATAAAATATCCGGAAACAGACGTAGGCCTATAAGGGACATTTCGAGCGTCATTGCGATTGTCAACCTTTCTGAGTTTAGGATGGTCGAAGACACTACACTACCCATAATCCCCAGCTATCGTTTAGGACTACAGTCCCCTGTAAGGTTACGCAGAGCGTCAAACAGCTGTGTGAAATGGAACGAAACCACGCCAGACTATCCAAAACTGGAATCGAACGCCCCCCCAGAACTACACATGCTGGATGCTGGCTATTGTGTTTCGCCAAATGTTCTATGGGACGTCTCTACTGAACGTTTTCGTTTTTCCCACAATTAGAAGTTGCCAGTATTAAACACATTGGCGTTATCAAATGTAAAACTATTATATATTATTTATTATAATTAATAAATGGGTGAAAATCGCTATATATATACCCACATGACAGCTCATTGTTACTTTGTAATTCTACTCCACTACAATTCAGAGGTTAACCTGGTATTTTTACTCCACTGCATTTATTTGAGTTACTTTGCAGATTCTGATTAATTATGTGAAATATAAACAACCCTTAAATCAGACTTTAGTTACACCTGAGTAAAATTCAGGTAAGGTGATTGTCAAGTGCCAACAATCAGGAGAGATATTTGATAGTTGGTGCTTGAGAAGACTAAACATGTATCTGCAATTGACATGAATGGAAACGAGTAATAAAGTATATTCATTACTCGTTATTCTCTACTAATAGTTAATTAAAGACTGTATTTATGGCTATTTTGCACATCCCTTTCAAGATTTTCAAAGGTTTATTGACATATCATATACACAACTACGGTGTAGTTATGCAATGAATGAAACACTTGGGTCACAGGTTCCTCAACAGTGCATTACAAGACATCTATCAATATGTGTGTACCTCCACCATTAAACTGTCATATTCTGCACATTTCTTATTCTATCTACATACATAAGAGTATAATTCATATGTATAATATCAGTTCAAATAAATGCTTCAACATAGTTAACATTGCAGGAAAGCAATATATTAGACGTTAAGTACTTTGTCAGGCTTAATATTTATCTGTAGATAGATACCCCCAACGTTTTTTTCTTATTTAAAAGAAGACCTTAATCTGTTATTTAATGTTTAAATAAAGGTTCATTCGTTTTTCTGTTTTGCACCTCCTCCTATTAATATCTTTGTACATGCTGCCAGAGTTCCCGTTAGAATATTTCTTCGCCGGTCAACATGTCCGTTAAAGTTTAAATCTTCCGGACAAAATGAGAAAAGTGCCGGTCAAAGGTCTTTGTTATTTATTGAGCTTTAAAACAAATTGATATGATTCAATATTAAGCTAATTATAGTAGATTAACTACATTATTCAAAAGTGAACAGTAACTTACAATAACACGGGAATAATAAACGGACCGCTCTCCCTCTCCTGACAGCCCGTCAGTATCATGCAGCTCGCGGATCAGTAATGAGTGACCCGACAGTAAAACTAAACATATCTATAGCTAGTTTAGGTAGTTTGAGAGGTAATTAAAATAGCTACCTGTGATATTCTAACCTGAAGTGTGTGTTGTGTTCTGCTCACCACTGATCATGCAGAGCTGCGTGTTGACTCGTCAGCAGCAGCTGATCTCTCTCTCCCGTCAGATTAGACTTCACTCGCGTTTATGTCCATATCGATCAGATCCAGCTAGTTCTAGCTAATGATATGACTACCTGCTTATTAAAAGACACCTAAACAATAAGTGTCGCTATGCAACTGGGTGAGGCCACAAAGTATAGCGCAGCATTATGTATTTGTTTACATGCCCACCGGAACCCCGAGGCATTACCAACAGATCAACGCACAATCAACCCATACAGGACATCTATTTCTCCACATTAAGTGTTAGACATTAGAATTGACTATTCTTGTCTGTCACATACTCTTTTGTCTGTCACATAAATGGTGCAAATTGCGCAACTGATGTGGTATTGTGCTAAACGAAAAACAATTTGAACGGACACTTTGACCGGAGATATTTAGATTTGCCGGTCTTCAGCATATTTTACCAGTCGTAGTCCGGTAATTACCGGCTAACGGGAACTCTGCATGCTGCACTAAACTGTTTTATTGTAGAGATCACTTTATAGTATCTTCTTGATTTTTTATATTCTATATTTCTATATTTATACTTTCCCCCTATGAAAGTATGTACTCTTAATATTTTTTTAATCAAACACAATAATTCAATAACGTGCTTTAACCACTAGATGCACACAAGGTACACAAATGTTTTCCGGATTTCATATCATATAAACACCAAATCCCAGCATGCATTGCGGCTAAAACATCCAATAAGCGAGTTTAAAACCATAGCTGAGGATCTTGGGTAATGCCTATGTCCGGTTATTTTTATTTTGAAATGCAGTCCCTGACGGACGCCAAAAAAGCCCGAGATTATGGAATTAAACCAATCAATAAAAGCAAGGATAATTGTGTATTATTGGTGAGTAAATAACAGTGTGTTATTTTGAAAAGAATAACAAATTAGAAGGAAACAAATATTTAAAAAATACAGATTTCAGTATTCTGAGGCTCTGAGCCCCATTTCTTTTCCTCACGGCAACAAAAGTCCGAAATTATACGATTTAAAATAAAAGCAATAATTGTGGCTTGATATTGAGTAAGAACATGTTTTTATGAACCACACAGCTTCCGGTCTTCCTCGACCCGACCGGAGAAAAAGACGTGCTGCAAGCAGTAGAAATACATTGCTTTTAAAATCGTGCTGTGCAACACGAAAATAAATCGTGCTGTGCAACACGAAAAAAAGGGGCAAATCGTGTTGGGGAACACGAAATGCCGTGAGACTGGGTTGGATCACACCACACAGCAGGACTTACAGTTATCACAGAAACATGTTATTATTACTTTCTTTGCTTTTTAAGAAAATATTCACAAAGCATTCAGAACAAATAAACACATCTCAGTACATAGATTAACTACATAACAGATGACCAATCAGAAAAGACACAACAACATAATAGTATTACAAATAAAAGAATGAATACATTATGAATACTCAGGTACACATTAATTATATTCACTATATTGTTCTACACTGACCCATTCCTCCCCCCTTTCCTCAAAGATATGCATTTGGTTTCTAATCTAGTTGATTTCTCCGTTACATAGATTTCATTTACTAAGTTATTCCATTGTGAGTTTACTAAGTTATTATCTTTCAGACAATTCCTTGTCATTTGTTTGATCTCTTTTCTAATGACCAGAAATAGATAGATCTTTTTGTATCTCCTCTGGTGTTCCCCCAGTGATAGGGAGAATGGGTTTTTGTTGAGAGATCAAGATATTGGACATTTCTCTTCAAACTGTTTCCCAGAAGTCTCCCAACACATTACAGGCCCAGAATATATGTCTGGTTTCTGCTCAGCGCGTTCTCTCCAGCGTTTGGAAGTGAGGCTTTCTTTGTATTCACTTTGAATCTGGGGTGTCTTAAAGTGTGGAATTAAAAGCTTCATGTGTTTTCTTTCCAGTAGTTTGAGTTGGTTGTGTTATGAATGTTTCTGCACATGTGTTCCCAATCTACTGGTATATTGCAGGATCATTCATTTCCCCATTGATTTATTACATTTCATTTCATTTCAAACCTTTATTTAACCAGATTGGTCCCATTGAGATCATAGATCTCTTTTTCAAGGGAGACCTGCAGCATATAGGTTCCACATGAAATATAAAACAATAAAGGACATCATACATTATATTTACAGGATACATTTACATAGTTGTAGACATTTACAAGTGCCCATAGTATCAACGAGCATTTCATTTAGCCTTGCTTTAAAGACCTGCAGAGGAATGAGATTGCTCAGTTTCAATTCTTGCTGAAGATTGTTCCAAGCAAGTGGAGCTGCGCACATAAAAGCTGTCTTACCTAAGACAGTCCTTGCTCTTGGCACATCTAACAATACTACATCATGCCATCTCAGACAATAGCTGCTTGCAACTCTCTGTGTTATCAGAGAGGAGATGTAATACGGGAGTTTACCCAACAAAGCTTTATAAATAAATAAAAGTTACATTAATAATAATGTGTTCCCAATCTACTGGTATATTGCAGGATCATTCATTTCCCCATTGATCTGTTGCATTAATAATACTGTGTTCATCTTGATTTCTTTATTCTAATATTTGAACCATCTTAGTTAGAAATGTTGTTTCCACTCCAGGGTCATAAACTGTAAGCATGTATTTTATCAATGGCTTGATGTCTTGAAAAGATCTCTTTTTGAAATGCCAGAAAGATAACTCCTCACTTGGAAGAATCTGAATAAATGCTATTTGAGTAAATCATATTGTAACGAACGCTGTTCAAAGGATTTCACGTCTTTATCACCGAACATATTTTGATCACAATGTGTTCGAGTTTAAAATCAGATCTATATAATTTCCCCCCAATAACAGAGTTATGTCTTAATGCTGATATACTGGGAACATCTGATGGTATCAAGTTGAACATATTGAAACTTTATTTGTTTGTTAATTGTGTTTGTGTGCGCAGTAAATGTTCAGAAGCTCAGAGAAGCCAAAACATCCTTCATCCATCATTCACATCCAAATGTTAACTAACATTTAAATATGTTCATCTCTAATATCGTCAAGTGGTTCATTTAATTTCTGTTTCTTTAGGTAACAGTCAGTGACAGCAGGAGCACAGACATGTGATCAGATCACACTGACTACTCATTACACTCTATTATCATATATTATTATATATTATATTAAATGGACCAACAGCAAAGGTCTATCAGAACATGTCAAATCTTTTTTCATCAAATGCTTGAGGTTAATATAATGTTTCCTCTCTTTTTAACACATGTTGTAATATATGTTTTATTATAGACTTGCTGGCTGGATAATCACAGAGACTGACTGTGAAGTCGTGGCCTCAGCTCTGAAGTCTGACCCCTCCCATCTGAGAGATCTGGACCTGGGTCACATCCCTCTGCAGGATTCAGAAGTGGAGCTGCTGAGTTCTGGACTACAGAGTCCAAACTGCAGACTGGAGGCTCTCAGGTCAGTTCACTGACTGCAGTTCATATTGATCTGTTTGTGTTTATGATTTTCTGAATTTGAACAAATACAATGTTATTTTTATTTGTTCCGTTTCTGCTAATGACTGAATATTGATCAGAGTAACAGAGAGAAGGTGAATGTGTGAGGGAGAGAGTTTGAGCTTCCACAGACTCACCCTGTGCTCCAGGAGTCAGTGGAGATGCTGTCAGTACTGAGGAGCTGTGAGGGAGATGAAGGAGTTGTTCAACATCTGATCAAAGTTAGAGTTCCAGATTATCAGTGGATTGTTTCTGCATCATCTCTGACATTAAAACCCTGTTTGACTCTGAACAGATTATTAAACCTGGAGTTATTTCCAACAGGAACTTTGTTTTCTAAACTTACATCATGGTTTCTTTATTCAGACTGAAGGGCAACTGGTTGTCACAGATCAGCTGTTCTGCTCTGATCTCAGCTCTGAAGTCCAACCTCCATCTGAGAGATCTGGAGCTGAGTCTCAACGCTCTGCAGGATTCAGGAGTGGAGCTGCTGAGAGATCTTCTGGAGAGTCCAGACTGCAGACTGGAGACTCTCAGGTCAGTTCACTGAAACTGTGACTGAAAGAATGTTGCTTTGATTTGACTTTTTTATGATTATTTCATTTTTTTTCTTCTTATAATGTCAATAATGGAGCCCAAGTAATATCTGTTCCGAGCCAGCGGATCTTTGCTGACAAGAGTTGGGATTTCCTGACCAGTCTCGCATTTGTTTTTCTCTCCACAATTTCTCACACACAAAATGTTCCTTGGAAGAGCTGTGTCCTTTTGTAAGGCATGCTTCCAGTCTTTGAAGCCTCTTACGGTGAACGATGCGTCATGATGACGAGCCTTAAACTTTCTGCATGGGAAATACGCAGCATCTCCAAGATCACACAGACTTTCATTCAGAGTTTCATAGCAAGATAAAAACATGATATCACACTAATCTTTCAACATAGTTTAATACAAAAATACATATTAGGACAAAGCCCTACGAATAACAACACTAAACATAATAATACAACAATTCAATGTTTTTAATCAGCCCAAATCCTGGATGGGGGGGGGGGCATACGTTAATAACTAACATCCATAGAGTTGTAAATGTCCTTTTATTCATGTTTCATTTTTAAGAGTAAGAAGTAAGAACTGCAGACATACATGTTGACTGTTTCTTAAAGGAACTGTAATAGATGTTAGTAGTTCAAAGTAAATCTCTGTATTTAATATTTAGTAAACGATAACGTCTGAATAAAGGTCATCTGAAGTCATTTTAGTTTTACATGATAAAGTTCACTTTCTGAAGTAGACAGATGTTTCTGTTCAGATTCATTTTGTCACTATCTGTCTTTATGGTGTCTTGTCTTGTTTCATGTGTTATTTTGAAAGGTCTTCACCTCCTGTCTTGCCTGTTTCTGTCTGCGTTGTGTCTTGTTTAAATCTGTCTGTGGTTCCCGGTCGTTAGTTTCCCTGGTGTGTCTAATTTACCCGATTGTGTTCACCTGGTGTCCCTGTGTGTTCTCCTCCCTCCTCACCTGTGTCTTGTTTCTGTGATTAGTCTTGTGTGTATTTAAGTTCTGGTTTTTCTGTCTGTCTTTGTCGGTTCGTCTTTTGTCATGACTAGTTCGTCGGTGAGTGTTCTGTTCTGTCTGTGTTATCACCTAGCCTTGAAATAAAGGAACTTTCACTTTAAACTGCATTTGGGTCCTATCTGCTTCACACACCGTGACCGTACGAACCGACCACATTATGGACCCAGCAGACTCAGCCCTTTTGATGCGACAGGCGGAAAGTCTTGGATACTCTCTGGAGTATATTTTTTATACGTGGAAAGGCGCCTCATCTAGACGGGGTAGAGAGGCTGCGTTGAAGGAGGCACGTCAGGAGGTTGCTCGCAAGCCCTGGCTCTGGAGCTTGTTGCCCGAGTGGCTTAGAGTTTTCTCAAGTAGCCCTGAGTACCAGTCTTCATGTTCTGACCCTTTCTTGGGGTCTGGTCTGGCGTTTGGAGGTCCACGAAGCCTCCAAAAGACTCCTAAGAGACGAAAGGCCAGGGTTCCGGCGCCAGTTCCGGCTCCAGAACCGGTCCCCACAGCCATGGTCCCTGCTACAGAACCGGCCCATGCAGCCATGGTCCCTGCTACAGAACCGGTCCACACAGCCATGGTCCCAGCCCCAGTCCTGGCCCCAGCAGCCCCAGTCCTGGCCCCAGCAGCCATGGCTCCGGCCCCAGCAGCCATGGTTCCAGCTTCAGTACCAGCCCCAGTAGCCATGGTCCCAACTCCAATTTCGGCTACAGGGCTCCAGCACCTCGTCTCCTGCTGGCTCCCCAGACGACGCCAGCTCCCCGTGTCCTGTCGGCGTACCGACCGACACGAGTCCCCTCTCAAGTCCCCTCTCAAGTTCCTACCCGAGTCCCCTCTCAAGTTCCTACCCGAGTCCCCTCTCCAGTTCCTACCCGAGTCCCCTCTCCAGTTCCTACCCGAGTCCCCTCTCCAGTTCCCTCTCGAGTCCCCTCTCCAGTTCCCTCTCGAGTCCCCTCTCCAGTTCCCTCTCAGGTCCCCTCTCGAGTCCCCTCTCGAGTCCCCTCTCGAGTCCCCTCTCCAGTCTCCCTCAATCCCTTCTCGAGTCTCCTCTCCAGTCCCCTCTCAGTCTCCTCTCGAGTCCCTTCTCGAGTCCCCTCTCTAGTTCCCTCTCAGGTTCCTACCCGAGTCCCCTGTCGAGTCCCCTGTCGAGTTCCCTCCTCTAGTCCCTCCTCTAGTCCCTCCTTTAGTCCCTCCTCGAGTCCCCTCTCTAGTTCCCTTCTCTAGTCCCTCCTCTAGTCCCTCCTCTAGTTCTCCTCTCGAGTCCCCTCTCGAGTTCCCCCTTGGTTCCCCTCTCGAGTCTCCTTTCGAGTCCCCTCTCGAGTCCCGTCTCAAGTCCCTACCCAATATCCTGGTCCGTTGGAGGTTCCGCTGGGGGTCCTGCCAACTCCATGTACTGTCCCATTGGAGGCCCCGTCGACTACTCCTCTGCCGGGGGTCCTACCAATCGTATGTCTGTCCCGTTGGAGGTCCCGCCGACTACTCTCCTGCCGGGGGTCCTGCCAACCCTTTGTCCTGTGCTGTTGGAGGCCCCGCCGACTACTCTCCTGCCGGGGGTCCTGCCAACCCTTTGTCCTGCCAACCCTTTGTCCTGTCCCGTTGGAGGTCCCGCCGTCTACTCTCCTGCCGGGGGTCCTGCCAACCCTTTGTCCTGTCCCGTTGGAGGTCCCGCCGTCTACTCTCCTGCCGGGGGTCCTGCCAACCCTTTGTCCTGTCCCGTTGGAGGTCCCGCCGTCTACTCTCCTGCCGGGGGTCCTGCCAATCCTATGTCCTGTGCCGTTGGAGGTCCCGCCGTCTACTCTCCTGCCGGGGGTCCTGCCAAACCTTTGTCCTGTCCCGTTGGAGGTCCCGCTGTCTACTCTCCTGCCTGGGGTCCTGCCAATCCTATGTCCTGTGCCGTTGGAGGCCCCGCCGACTACTCTCCTGCCGGGCGTCCTGCCAACCCTATGTCCTGTCCCGTTGGAGGTCCCGCCGACTGCTCTCCTGTCGGGGGTCCTGCCAATCCCGTGTCCTGGTCCTTTTCCGTGGGGGATCCTGCCGAGGCCTGTCCCACCAGCTCCGACACCGGTTCCTGCCCGGCCTCCGGAGCTGTCTGGTCTTCACCCTCGAGCCCGGCCCTCTGAGAGCTGCAGTCTTCACCCTCGATCCAGGCCCCCTGAGAGCCACGGCCTTCGCCCTCGAGCCCGGCCCCCTGACTTTCCCGGCCGCGGTCCTCGCCCTCATGCTCGGCCCCCTGAGTTCGCCCACGATGGCCTTCGCCCCTCCATAACCCCCACCTTGGACTCTGTCTTGCCCCCGGGCCGTCCGCCCGAGTCCCCCTTCTCGGCTTCTGCCTTGCCCCCGGGCCGTCCGCCCGAGATCCCTTCCGGGTCCTCCGCGGTGCTCTTGTGTTGTCAGCCCAGACCCGTCCTCCGGACCCCCTCCACCCACCCTGGTGGCCTAGTGATACGTCCCTCCTCCGGACCCCCTCCACCCACCCTGCTTGAGGACTTTTGTGTTTTTTTGGGACGTCTGAGATCCGTCCCTTGAGGGGGGGGTACTGTCACGATCTGTCTTTATGGTGTTTTGTCTTGTCTTGTTTCATGTGTTATTTTGAAAGGTCTTCACTTCCTGTCTTGCCTGTTTCTGTCTGCGTTGTGTCTTGTTTAAATCTGTCTGTGGTTCCCGGTCGTTAGTTTCCCTGGTGTGTCTAATTTACCCGATTGTGTTCACCTGGTGTCCCTGTGTGTTCTCCTCCCTCCTCACCTGTGTCTTGTTTCTGTGATTAGTCTTGTGTGTATTTAAGTTCTGGTTTTTCTGTCTGTCTTTGTCGGTTCGTCTTTTGTCATGACTAGTTCGTCGGTGAGTGTTCTGTTCTGTCTGTGTTATCACCTAGCCTTGAAATAAAGGAACTTTCACTTTAAACTGCATTTGGGTCCTATCTGCTTCACACACCGTGACACATTTAAATGTTGAGAAACATCTGATTGGATTATAAACAGATTTTTATCCTCATCATGTTTTCTTTATTCAGACTGAGGAGCTGCAGTTTGTCAGAGATCAGCTGTTCTGCTCTGGCCTCAGCTCTGAAGTCCAACCTCCATCTGAGAGATCTGGACCTGAGAGAGAACGCTCTGCAGGATTCAGGAGTGGAGCTGCTGAGAGATCTTCTGGAGAGTCCAGACTGCAGACTGGAGACCCTCAGGTCAGTAAGGGGTCTCTGCTGGTTCAGCAGTATTGTATGAAACACAGGGAGGTGTTTCTCTCACTGGGGAAACAGATCAGTGATGTTACCCACTGACTGCAGGCTCTCTCATTCTTCCAACAACTAGAGAAGGCCAGCTGAAAATGCAAAGCCACGTTTAGTTCAATCAGGAGAGCTTTTGATGTAATAATACATATTTATTGCGCAGATGCACAAATGAATGTAATGGTAATTTTGGTGATTAGGCCCCGGGAAGGGCTGTAATCATTCGGGAGGGTAGAGCCGATCCGATGAAACCCCCCTGGGGTCTAGACACTGGTGGTGGTGAATGGATAGTTGGGGTCGGTCTGAAGGGGAGGGGCTTAGCTTGACCCTGGTGGTGGTGAATGGATAGTTGGGGTCGGTCTGAAGGGGAGTGGCTTAGCTTGACCCTGGTGGTGGTGAATGGATAGTTGGGGTCGGTCTGAAGGGGAGTGGCTTAGCTTGACCCTGGTGGTGGTGAATGGATAGTTGGGGTCGGTCTGACCCTGGATTCAGAGGGACAGGAGGTGAAAAGGGGTGGAGGAGGGTTGCGTCGAGTCACCTGAAATGACAGCTGTCAGAGGGGGAAGAGCAGATTTAAAAGGTTTGACAGAGCGTTATGATAGGCTCTTGGGAATAGAGCTAGGTGATTGGTTAAGCTGAAGAGTGACGCCCCCGGTCACTTATTGAGAGGAGAGAGAGTAGCATGGGAATAGAAATACATGAAGAGTAAAGACGGTCTTCCTGGTTGAATTTGCGCTGAGCTTCATTAAGTAATCAACTTTCCACCAGACATATGGGGTTTGACAGAAGAGTGGAAAAGGTAGTCTGTGTTTGATGGGATGTTTTTAGTTCCTTGACTAATGGCTGTTACTTCCTGTCATGCAGCTGAGAGCTGTGGCAGTCAGTCGTAGTGTTTGCAGAGAAGATATGATGGGATGTAAAGCATGAGATCAGGACTCTGAAGCTGACTCAAAGAACAAACACTTATTTTAAACTGGATCATAACTGTTGGATTGTGTTCATCCCTACAGGATCAGAGATGATGAGACGATCAGAGCCAAGATCCAGAAGACCTGTGAGTACTGAATATCCTCCATTCATCCAGATATGAGACTCTTTGATGGAGCATGTCCTCAGAGGAAAACAACACTCTGGTTTCTCTCTTCATCATTTTGGCTGTTTCTCTTCACAAGAACTTTCTATCAACACAGTGACGCGTTCACTGACACTCTGTAAAATGTAAATAAACTCTGAAGAATAAAACACATGAAAACATCAACATTATAACCTGTCTGTTACAGTATTACCCTCAAAATATACTTCAGTAGAAGTACTCAGATATTTTACTTGAGTAAAAGTAGAAGTACTCAGATCTAGTAGCGACAGTAAAAGTAGTCGTTGTGCAGATTGGTCCATTTCAGAATAATATATATGATATGTTTTATAATGATTGATCATGAAAGTGTTCTCAAAGCTGGTGAAGGTGCAGCTAGTTTGAATGGCTTTGTATACTGCAGGGTAGCTGGTGGATTTACTCCAGGTGGAACTAAAGTCTGATTCAACACTTGATTATATTTCACATCATTCATCCACATCTGTAAAGTAACTAAAGGTATGAATACATGTAGTGGAGTAGAAGTACACCATGTACCTCTGAACACCTCTGGTTAGCATCCAGCAGCTTCTATGTGCTGGGGACCCGTACTGTACATTTCTATCATCACACTTTGGGCTCCTCAACATGTGTGGGTTCCCAGCAGGACTCTCTGAGCTGCAGACACATTCTTTCTGTGACTTTGTTCCAGATATTTGGAGCATAATAACTGAAGCTGTTTCTCCATGTTCAGGAACTCCCATCCCCCGAGTCCTGCGGCAGGAAGCGCTCCTTCTCTCCAAGAACTCCTGGACCCTGCAAGCTGGTCCAGAACCAGAGTCCCAGTGAGGAGTCCAGCCAGTCGACTTCTCAGAGTTCAACTAAACTACAACATTATTAAAGATCATGTTTAAAGTTAAAAAAGGATGCTTTCAGACTGAATCCAGAAGTTTCTCCAGCTGCAGTCAAAGCAGATCATTTGAGGAATATATAAAACAATTATTACATTACATTACATTTAGCTGACGCTTTTATCCAAAGCGACTTACAATAAGTACATTCGACCAGGAAGACACAACCTTGAAGAAAACAGAATCATATAAGTACATTAGGTTTCATAGAGCCAAACATTTCAAGTGCTACTCAACTGGCTTTAGATAAGCCAGTCCTTATAAAACTGTAATAAGAATTACTCTGAATACTTTCTTTTAATTTCTTTTAATCAAATGCTTCTGACTTTCTATCAGAGTGCTTTTCTCCTGAATCAACGACTTCAATCTTCTTTATTTTCTTGTGTATTTCATAAACAGGATGTTGTTGTTTGTCCTTATATCCTGATTGATGAGTCAGCAGTACAGCAGCCAGGCGGTAACGGTCAGCTGGCATGTGTATCTGTTCATTGGCTCATATGTGTAGCATGTTTAATGGCAGTGTTTTGAAAATGGCTGACAGGTGAATATGTCAGATCTCTGTGTGTTACTCAGAGAACCGTGTGCAGGGTTTTAGAAAGTGCAGAGTTGAATTGCAGATTGTGTGCAGAGCTGAAAATGTGTTTAGAGTTGTGTTTGATTGAATCCAGCCAGTGTTGCCGCAGCAAAGCATAAGGGCTCTGTTGTGAGTTTTCATAGTATGTTTAATACTTAAAACGAAAGTTAGTTATAATCAAATATAATCAATTATATTCTTGTATAACCCACAATGAAAATGCTTCATATTTTAGGTTTTTCTATAGTTACAGTATAAACAAAACCAAGTGGTTTGTTAAGTTGAGTGTAAGGCCTATAAGAATTATGGGTGTCTCTGATAAGAGAGTAGGCCGTTTTTTCCCTCTCCTCTGACAGCAGTTCACAGGGAGGGGGGCTCCTGACTGAAGGAGAAAAACATTGAGGCGTCAAAAAGGTGGTTATGATAGCCATAGAATATGTCTGTTCATGTCCTGTTTTCTACACAAACATGGGAAGGTGTGTCTTAGGCCATAGCCAATAGAAGATGTTGGTTGGGAATAGAGGAGGTGTTTGTTTTTTGGGGTTTCGATCCGGTTTTTTGAGCATAAAGAGACTGGTTTTTTGAGAGAGCGCGAGAGAGAGGGGGGTTTCCCCTGGTAAACTCTCTCCCGGTAGGCTTTGTCCTTCAGAGCTGGGTTAATAGCTCTCGGTAAGGTCCTCTCACACTTGGTAAATATCTCTCGAATTTCTTGGTTGTTGGCTGAGTGGAATGATTTTATGAGAGATGTGTTTGTGAATATTAGAACCGCCACCTGTGAGGACCTTCCTCCGAATGAATGCGGATAGGAATGGGTTTTTGAATGTTATACCCGCCGTCTGTGTCGGAAAAAAGGTATGAAACTGATGTGAATTGATTTGGTGAATGAAAAGTTGAATGCGCTTTTTATTGTCACCGGTCTTTTTATGAGGAAATACCTCTAAATTCTATCGGGAGAATTTTTAAATGTCACAACTGAATTGGGCAGTTGAAATTAAACATTTTGGTAATAAATGTAAGACTGAATTAAAGTTTCATATTTGAACATGATCACAGCACCATTTTTTTTTAGTATGATTATAATGTTGTAAAGAGAGAAGGTAAAAACCCTGTATTAAGTTTGGACCTATTTTTCTTCAAATAAACTGATCCCACCTTTTGGACTGGGATAATTTAAAAGACAACCTGTGCACTCCTCTCCTGCTTCAAAGGTAAGACTGCACCCTGCCACACACACTTAGGTAGGAGCACACTCCATTTACTGATATCAAAATCCTTCGGGATCCCTTAAACAGATTAAAAAAGAGTTGTCTGAATAGAAACAGCAGTTCATTGAACCTGGTTCTTCGGGGAGTTTATAGAGGTGAGATCTTGCTGACGTTGGTGGATCTGAGCCAAGCAGTAAACTTACATAGACTCAATAACTTCGGTCAGGTCAATTAGTAGGTCAGAGTAATTTACCGGAATAAATTATCAGGACCTCGCCGACTCTAAACAGCTCAGAGCTCGGACCTATTGTGTTCACATTATATACGCTTCCTTTAGGCAATAAGGAATCACTCGGGACATTTTCATTGTTATACGGATGATACTCAATTATACACAATATAGACAAAAGTATTGGACCACCTACACATTAGAGAGATACCGCATGTCCTTCCTTCCTGCAGCGGTCAGACTATATAATTACCACGACCCCTAGTAGACCCCCCACACCACAACACAGACTATAACACCGCTTGTTGTTAAATACCAACTATGTGCAATATATATATATATATATGCCGTTAAAACTATGCAATATATACCTGGCTGTTAAATCCTCAGAACTGTTACGGGATGTGTATTTTGTAAAATGTGTAACTTTAAAAAAATGATAATTTCTTGTTTTAATCTTTAATACTTTGTTGTCTGCATGCTTTAGGGAACATGAAGCTGTCTCTGGCTCTTTCTGCTGTAACAATGTACATCTCTCCTCTGGGACTAATAAAGGGATTCTGATTCTGATCACACCTGCAGGAGCTTTCAGGACATCCCATTCCAAACTCTTAAAACAGGGTTTTCTCCTTGCTTAAAGTGGACCTATCAGGCTATATTTGAATAATATATTGTAGGGCCATACCTATATAAAACATGTCTGTGAGTTTTTTTTCTCCAAATACCAAACAGATCATGCATTTTAGCCATCCCATTCCAAACTCTTAGGCATTCATTTGAACTTGGTCCCCCTTTGCAGCTATAACAGCTTCCACTCTTCTGGGAAGGCTTTCTACAGATCTTGGAGTGTGTCTGTGGGAAGCCCTTTCATCCAGAAGAGCATTAGTGAGGTCAGACACTGGTGTTGGACGAGAGGCTGGCTCTCCGTTCTAGTTCATCCCAAAGGTGTTCAGTGGGGTTGAGGTCAAGTTCTTCCACACCAAACTCATCCACCCAGGCCTTGATGGAGCTGCTTTGTGGGGCTCAGTCATGCTGGAACAGAAAGCTTCTTCCTCCCAGACTGTTTCCTGGCTGTTTTCCACCAGATTGAGACTTGAGTTTCTTGGTGTTTTTCACAACAAATAAAAATGCGCAAAAACTAAAAACAATATTCTTGCATCAAAGTCAATGTTGGTGCCAATGTGTACACATATAAAATACTTTATGTTTACATATTTTCTTAATGTCTTTCATTTTTTCACTTTGGATTGCCTTGTGTTGAAAGGTGCTATATAAATAAACTTGCCTTATTAATTTTGTATTCATAATAATCTTGTCCTCTTAGGTATAGCTTTTTTAATGTGTTTTTTTAAAGAAATACAAATAAAATATATTCAATATGTTGTATCTGTTTTTAGAAAATAAATACAAATACAAAATGATACATAAAATAATGATCAGTTTTGTGGCTTTATGTGAACGAGCTGAGGACTCTCTATGTTCATGCTCTCCTGGATATAAACCCAACAGATCGTTGGATCAAATCTGCTTTGAATGATCTTCTTTATTTGACCTCGTACCTCCGCCCAGAACACCTTCAACTTTCTGCACCGCCTAACACAGAGAAACCACATTACCCTTGATTCTGTGAATGTTAAAGTCCAGTGGCGAGCCGTCAGGGCCCTCTGTGAGGGCCTAAGATATTCTAAAAAATAATATTTTAAAACATTAAAAAAAAAAAAAAGATTCAATATTATTTTTTATATTTTTTTGTTGTTACATTTTTCATTAGTTTTACCAAGATAACTTGATTTAATTGTATTTAAAATAATATTTCCAAAGAAATAAATCCTTGGAATCTGCCTGTTCAGTTTCTGTTGGAATGTGAAGGGTTAAATGCCGTCTCTGCGAGTTATGTGAAGACGGGAGAGCTTGTTGGTCCCTCTGTAAATTCACAGAGGGCCCGCTACAGTAACTCAACGAGAGAGTAATGTCAAATGACAGTACAATTGACCAATCATATCTTTCCTCTAAATGGGCGGGCTTTATTTTTGCGGACTTTATGACAAGTTCCGCCCGCTGTGAGGTCTATGCAAGTGGTGCAGTGACGCATCCTAAAACCCGAATCAAAGTTAGGCCTAAGTCATTTTCAATGTGGGCCGCCATGCCGACTTAATTCATTTGTAATTGTTACTTGGCTGTGGGTGCCCTGTCATGATAGGTGTTTATATAAATGGTGTTGTTTTGTGTGGTAGAGGGTCGCTGTTATTGATGCGTTTTGCACCCCGGACCACTGTTTTGATATTCCGCTGAAGTATAGTAATATCTCTTCTTTGTTTTCGAGGGAAGAGGGGGGGGGGGGGGGGGGGTCAGAGGGCCTAGGTATAAAAGTCACGGCTCGCCACTGTGTTAAACATATATCTGGTTTATTTTTATATCGGTTTAAATCATAGACTGCATTTATAAAGGGTTTAAATCAACCGGGGTCACATGTGTTCACTTGAGCCAGGGCCGGCCATGACCAATTTGCTGCCCTAGGCAAGATTTTAGCTGGCGCCCCCTCCCCCCCAAAATGCAGACACTCACTATGACTCGCGCATGCATGCACGTGCACGGTGTGGCATGACCACCAAAACAAAAAGATATGGACACAAGATGTGTGCAAATGTATTTAGTATCCTATCCATTTTAACATGATTTAAGTGGGGGGTGGACCTAACCTCTAGGGGGGTCCGGGAAGATTATTATTTTTTTAATATTGAAGTTAAAAGCATCAATCTGGTGCACTTTGAGAGCAACATGGAGAGATCTATGGATACATCTCTCAAAACCCATATGAAAAACCCATATGAAACTTATTTTTATATATCGCAGGGCTCGACATTAAGGATGGCCCAATGGCCCAGGGCCATCTAGCATTTAGCTCGGGCAATGAAGCCTCACCTGCTGGTTGCCCGATCGGGCAATCTATTATGCCAGTATCATGCAGCTCGCGGATCCAGTAATGAGTGACCCGACAGTAAAACTAAAACACATCTACTATAACTAGTTTAGGTAGTTTGAGAGGTAATTAAAATAGCTACGTGTGATATTCTAACCTGAAGTGTGTGTGTTTTGTCCGCTCACCGCTGCATGTGATTATGCAGAGCTGCGTGTCGACTCCTCAGCAGCAGCAGCAGCAGCTGATCTCTCTCTCCCGTCAGATTAGACTTCACTCGCGTTTATGTTCATATCGATCAGATCCAGCTAGTTCTAGCTAATGATATGACTACCTGCTTATTAAAAGACACCTAAACAATAAGTGTCGCTATGCAACTGGGTGAGGCCACAAAGTATAGCGCAGCATTATGCATTTGTTTACATGCCCACCGGAACCCAGAGGCATTACCAACAGATCAACGCACAATCAACCCACACAGGACATCTCTTTCTCCACATTAAGTGTTAGACATTAGAATTGACTATTCTTGTCTGTCACATAAGTGGCGCAACTGAATACTACCCGGACAATGAATCGAATGCAACCACATTTTCGCGGGAATTTCAGTTTGTTACGGATTCTGATGCTGAATACATAATGATCAAATAATTTAAAGTCAGAGTGTATTACAATGTTTCTTAGTCCACCAAAGCAAGGTGAACAACCTGGAAAGAAGAAGAGAAAGACTGAGCTGCAGCTGAAACCGGCCTCTTCCGAGGGACTAAACTCAAGTATGTCAACGAAGGGCAGATTCTCTTTCTCCGGAAGAAAGTCATAGGTATGTGCCCAATAATATTTTCTTCATAAGTAAATATGGGCATAACATGTTTTAATAGATAATTTTTTTATGGTGGTCCAAAGACAGGAATATAATTTCACATTTGTTATGATATAAATGATTTTTTATGGTGGTCCAGAGACAGGGATTATAATTTGACATTTTGTATGTGTTTGCAGATGTGCTCATCAAGCACCTGGAGAAAAGATTCCAAGATCTCCAGAAATGGAGTGTCCCTTCAAAATGTTCCATCTTCAACCCCAGTCAGTGGCCCTTTGACAGACAGGAGCTGGCTGCCTATGGCAAACAAGACTTTGCTGATATCTGTGAGCATTATCAGCCCTTGATGGACGAGCACAGTGTTACAACTAAAATGCTGAAGTCTGAGTTCATCCTCTATAAGAGTTATGCAGCAGCCCGCACACTTCGAATGCCACAGATCTTCTCTGGCATCCTGTGTGACACTGAGAGATGCAAACAGTATAAGGGGCTGTCAATACTGTTTGAAATATACCTTGTTCTGGCAGTCAACACTGCAGTGTGTGAGCGGGGGTTCAGCTGCATGAAGAGGGTGAAGAACGACTGGCGTTCCTGTCTGGGTACTGAGCAGCTCAGCCGCCTGATGTTTTCCTCCATTGAGGGCCCCTCAATGGACAACTTTGATGCTGCCGGAGCCATGGAGAAGTGGTGGACCTCAGGAAATAGGGCTCGTCACCCTGGCTTCAACCCGTGGCAGAAGGAGCAGGAGCAGGAGATACGGGACGACCTCTATCAAGACCTGGTTCTTATGGATCAGGAAGCCGAGCAGGAGGAGAATGTGCGCCAGGAGGCCATATCTGACGAGCTTGGACTTGAGGCAGAGAATGTGGCTGCTGGCGAGAAGCGCTTGGCTGAAGCTCTTGGCGACTCAGATGAGTCAGACATAGACGAGTCAGACATTGACACTTTCTTGAAAGACTATCAGTCATTGAATCAGCAAACACAAACAAGAAGAAGTGAAATTAAGAATAAAATTGAAATTGTACAATATAATATTGTGGTGGTTCATCTTATAATTCTAGAGAATGCACCAGACAGCATCTAAGACCTGCAGGTCCCCCAAACCTTTCGTGTATCATTTCGTCCGCGCGCATTTTTCAGGGCCATCTCTATTGGACTCAGGGCCATCTGTACATTAGCTTAGATGGCCCACAGGGCCATCTCCCAAAATCCTTAATGTCATGCCCTGATATGGATATTTTACAAATCACTCTCCTTTTAAACTGTATTCTTGTTTATTAATGACAACTTTTTTTACTGTCATATAGTATTTTATACTATACATTTTACAAGTTATAATAGTCTGTGCTCTCTAAAGCTCTCCCCCCCCCCCACACCGAGACCGCGTTAATTCCAATGTTAATAAAAGCTGTATACGTTTTTTGGGAGTTTGATTTATTTTAAATTAACACAAATACAACATTTAAACCTATAATTGCACACTAAAACCATTATCTCAAAAAAATAACCATTTCACATAAACCTCTGGTTTTTACTGGGGCTGGGGCAGGTCAACTTGATTTTGGGGGGGGGGGGGGGGTGCGACATAGTTTATGGACGCTGTACGCATTATAGGCGTAGTTCTGTTAGTGTAAGATAATAAGATGTACTTTGTTGATCCAAAATCGGGAAATTGTGTTGTTATGAAATAAATAAAAAATATTTTTTTTGTATTTCTCATAAAGCTGGCAATGTCCTTGATCTCATATTCTCAAGGAACTGCACTGCTTCTAACCTCTCTGTAAACCCGCTCCACACATCCGATCACTTCTTCATTTCATTCTCTCTACCCCTTTCCAAACATAACAAACTAATCTCTTCTCATCCTGCACCTGTCAGCCGTAACCTTCGTTCCCTCTCCCCCTCTACCTTTGCCTCATCGCTGCTCTCAGCCCTCCCTTCCTCTGACTCGTTCCAACTCCTGCCTCCAAACTCTGCTGCAGAAACTCTCCTCTCTACTCTCTCATCCTCTCTGGACTCTCTCTGTCCTCTCACATCTCGGCAGGCTCGTCAGTCCCCTCCTGCTCCCTGGCTAAATGACGCACTGCGTGCTAATAGAACCGTCCTTCGGGCAGCAGAGCGGAAACGGTGGAAATCCAAACACCATGACGACCTCCTAACCTATTAGGCTCTCCTCTCCTCTTTCTCTGCTTCGATCTCTCAGGCAAAAAGCACTTTCTTTCAAGATAAGATCCAATCTTCCTATTCCATTCCCAAAAAACTATTTTCCATCTTTTCCACCCTCTTGGACCCTCCAAAAGCCCCTTCCCCCTCCTCCCTTCTGTCAAGCGACTTTGTTAACCACTTTGAAAAAAAGGTTGATGATATTCGCTCTTCTTTTTCTGACTCACCTTTACTCACCGCTGGGTCACAAGACCCTCCTTTCACCCACACACTGACCTCCTTCTCCCCTCTCTCTCCAAGTGCAGTTGCGACTGGTCATTAGGGGCAGGTGGCACAGCCCCACAGGTGGCACAGCCCCACCTAGTGTCAGCAGAAAGTATTACAAATGATGATTTAAAAAAAAATGCTAATTTTAAAAAATATATATATTTTAAGATCATGTTTAATCATCTGATTCGTCTGTACATTGCTGTTTTAGTCTGTGTTCTTCTAATTAGTGTCTACAGTGTGTGCCTATTGAGCTGTTTAGAGCCATTTGGGACAAAACCCGATCATGCCCCTCCCTCTCACTGTCTAAGTGAACGGTGACTGTAAAAACTACACTGCGCATGCTCAGAATATTTTCCAATTTAATGTGTGTGGCAAAAAAATAATGACCATAGGGGCATAGAGCTGTCATCCCCACCATACGTCATCTCACATCATTCAGAGCTGATTGGCTGTAAGTACGTGTGCCGCGAAAAGTGTGGTGTGTGAGGAGGAGACGAGAGAGCTGCAGTGACGCGTCCTAAAACCCGGAAGTAAGCTGCGCATGGCTTCCCTCAACAAAAAAGCAATGAGATTTCTCCATAGGATTTTAGAAAATAGCTCCAAATAAGATCTGTGGGAAACAAACCTGTTAGATAAATGCACGTTTTGTTCAGCCGGATCATATCCACATGTCTACCCTACTTTTATAATTTTCGAATCATAAATCTATTGATTAGATTAGATTTATGATAGAATTTTGAAACTACAAGAAGATAAGGAGGACTTTTACAAAAAAGTAATAGAGATTTTTGTCCAGAGGGATAGGTAAATGGACTTAACCCTAACCCTGAACCATCAGATCCTCCTTCGCACTCTCCAAGAACTTGGAGTTTCAGGCTCAGCACTTTCCCTCCTCACCTCATACCTCAAAGACCGTACCTACAGGGTTACTTGGAGAGGGTCCGAGTCCGACCTTGTCAATTAGCTACAGGGGTCCCTCAGGGCTCTGTTCTTGGTCCCCTCCTCTTCTCCTTGTACACAAACTCGCTCGGATCAGTCATTAACCCGCATGGTTTTTCATACCACTGCTACGCTGACGACACCCAATTAATCCTGTCCTTTCCCCGCTCAGAGACCCAGGTCGTCGCACGCATCTCTGCTTGTCTAGCTGACATCTCTCAGTGGATGTCTGCTCATCACCTCAAGCTCAACCTTGACAAGACTGAACTGCTTTTCCTTCCGGGAAAATATTGTCCCACTCTTGACCTGACAATCAACATCGGCACCTCTGTTGTTTCCCCGACTCAGACTGCAAGGAATCTGGGTGTGACCCTAGATAACAACCTGTCCTTCACTGCAAACATCGCTGCTACAACCCGCTGCTGCAGATACACGCTTTACAACATCAGGAGATACGTCCCCAGCTGACCCAGAAAGCCACGCAGGTTCTGGTCCAGGCTCTCGTCATCTCACGCCTAGACTACTGCAACTCCCTCCTGGCTGGTCTACCTGCATGTGCCATCCGACCTTTGCAGCTGATCCAAAATGCAGCGGCTCGTCTGGTCTTCAACCTTCCAACATTTTCCCACACCACCCCGCTCCTCCGCTCCCTCCACTGGCTTCCGGTAACTGCTAGAATCCACTTCAAGACAATGGTACTTGCGTACCATGCTGCGAATGGATCTGGCCCTTCCTACATCCAGGACATGGTTAAACTGGGTGTGATCCTAGATAACAACCTGTCCTTCACTGCAAACATCGCTGTTACAACCCGCTGCTGCAGATAGACACTTTACAACATCAGGAGGATACGTCCCCAGCTGACCCAGCTGGTCCTTTTATACCAATAAAGGACTGGATTACCTAAAGCCAGTTGAGTAGCACTTGAAATGTTTGGCTCTATGAAACCTGATATACTTATATGATTCTGTTTTCTTCAAGGTTGTGTCTTCCTGGTCGAATGTACTTATTGTAAGTCGCTTTGGACAAAAGCGTCAGCTAAATGCAATGTAATGTAAAAACTGTACACCCCAGCACGTACACTCCGCTCTGCATCAGCCAAACAGCTCGCTGCACCCACACTGCGAGGTGGGCCCAAGTTCCCATCAGCAAAAACACGTGGGTTTGCTATCCTGGCTCCAAAATGGTGGAATGAGCTCCCCATTGAAATCAGGACAGCAGATAGCTTACACATCTTCCGGCGCAGACTGAAAACTCATCTCTTTCGACTCCACTTCGAGCGATACAATTACTAACAAAGCACTTATATACTAATAAAGGACTGGCTTATCTAAAGCCAGTTGAGTAGCACTTGAAATGTTTTTGCTCTATGAAACCTGATGTACTTATATGATTCTGTTTTCTTCAAGTTTATATCTTGTTGGTCGAACGCACTTATTGTAAGTCGCTTTGGATAAAAGCGTCAGCTAAATGCAATGTAATGTAATTTCTAACTTTTTTTTTTTTTTTTTTTCCGGCGCCCCCCAAAGATTGATGCGCCCTTAGCATTCTCCTATACTGCCTATGCCAAGGGCCGGTCCTGACTTCAGCCATCTAGTTTCAGTGGTGTATTAACAGATCTGCTACGAGCAGCAACGCAATGCTTTTGTTCAAATCTTCATCTCAAACTTCAGTCTGCAGGCTGTCGGTATTCTGCTCTTACTCTTGCACTTTTCTTGCATTCCATGTATTTGTACTGCTATGCTTGTAATTTTCATTTTCTTAATGTTTTATGTGAGGGACTGCGGATGGAAAGCAGCTCAAAGCTAAATCCGGTATATTTAAACTTGGCACATTTCATGTTTTAACCCTCCGGTATCACTCTGGACGTTTTGGACCAAATGGGTAATTTTTCACGTCTCATTTGGGCGATAACTTTGGTTGTGTTTCTGCAAATGGCCTGATTTTTTGTAACACGGCTATTTTCTCGATCTACTTTGGAATTTAAATCTTTCAAATGGATCTTTAATTCATTGTGAAACAAATCGACTACCCTAATTGACCATTCGGGACAAAAATGTCCACTGCAAAAAAAAAAGAAGCCAGTCCCCAGATATGTGTTCTATGGAAAATAACTCATTTTCTCAGTTTTTATCATGAAAAACAACAGCGATTTCATGTATTCATAATGGCTTAAAATCCTGAAAATGATTAAATATTTGGTATTTCTGATTAGGGCTGAAGTTGCTTTAAAGATTGAACCCAAAAAAGTGGTGAAAAAAATATTTTAATATAACGTTTTTTATCAAAGTCTTTGGCAGAGGACATTTTTTGTCCCGAATGACTAATTAGGGTCGTCCAATCAAATGATACCGGAGGGTCACGTGATCATTAATGTGCAATGTCCCTGCCTAATAAACTAATAAATAAAATGAAATGTAAGTTATACTGTGAATCCTCAAATGGGACTCTAGTAGACTTTTAATAATAATAATAATAATGCACTTTATTTATATTAGGCGCCTCTCAAGGTCGCAGTATAAGATACGCAAACAAAACAACAGCAGAACAACAAGTAAATATAACCAATCCATGTGGCCCAGACCCTGGGGGTTTTTAAATCAACACTTAAAACTCACTTTTTCTCTCTGGCCTTCTAGGCTTCTCTTATCAAGAATAACTTTTACCATAAGACCTTTTCCCTCTCTAACCTCTCAAGGTTTTATTAGAGGGAAATGGTTTGTAAAGTGGCTTAGACAGGCCGGGGAGTGTTACAATTCGTAGACACAGCGTACCTCCCTATCTCTC